ATTTGAACGATTTCTTACTATTTTTATCCTGCGCAGGCCATATTTCTTTGATTCCAGAACCATGAAAAAAACGTGTAATTAAGTTAATTAGAACCAAAACTATGGCTTTTTAAATTTAATTCAGAAATTAAAAGTTCTGCACTTCTTGAGTGGAAATAAAAAATTCAGCTTTCATGGCACTTTTCCAGGTATATTCCCTCTTTGATCTAAATCGATAGGAAAAGTTTTATTTTCATGTTCAGAAATTCCAAGTGTCCAAATTTTTTAAACAAAACTGAAAAAGAATAAGAAATTAAACATCAATTTAAATAAGATTTAATTTTTAAATACAAAAAATCTTAACATAACATTATTAAGAAAATTTCAAGTTCCAATCAAAGCAGTTTTCTGTGTTATTCTCTGTTCATTACTTTACACGAGTATGTGCTTTACTGCCAGAAACTCGTGCAGCAACTTGCTTGTCGTAATGACGGGTGCCGCAAAGTTTTACCGTCGTAAAAATGCGCAGCGAAGTAAACTTTGAGCATAAATAATAAAATAAAAAGCAGAGCAATATGCGGCGCGCACATTTCCCCGTTTAAATCATAACTTATTGCGGCCGCTTTTGTGCTCTCGTTTGAAATTTATATATATAAAAATAAAATAAAACGTGCGAGGTTTTATAGTGAGCTCCGTTTTTACTTCAGGGAGAATGATAAGAAAATTAAAAGGCTGCCGGGAAACACGAAATTAAATAGTAAAAAAGCACAAGCTCGAGACATAATAAAGGAAATACGCTGCCATTCCGCGTGTTTACGCCCCCAGATAATAAAGTGTGCACAAGCAGAGGAAATTTCACCCGCAGCACCCTGCTTTTGCATTTATTTATTTCCAGAGCTTTGCGTCGGCGAAAAAAAATAGTAATTTTTCTCTCTCCACTGTGCAGAGCAATTGTCGTGTGTGATGAGCAGAATTGCATTGTTTCGGACGCGGCTCTATTTTTATGACTCAATATACAGGGCAGTTGAGGGAAATGAAACGGATGAGCATATTATGAAAATTTGCAACTTGATGAGGCAGTCGGATTAAATCTCATCGTTGGTCTAATCATTCTTTAAACTTCATAATTTTTGTGGTAGAATTTCACAATCGAGGGTTGATTCATGGTGATTTGAATTTCATGAATTATGGCTGCAGCCCGCAGCCGAAACATGTAGAGCAGGATATTGTTTTTTCTGAAACAATAAACAACTCACAAAAACCCATCGAGGAAAAGCCGATTTTAAATTCAAATCACCATTCATAATTTTTCTTAATTCCATAATTGATTTACTTATGAAATAATTAAAAAATAATATTTTAGGGTTAAATTTTTTCTGGTATGGATACAAATTTTCTTCCAAGGATAATTACTAATAAATAGGGAATTATGGAATACAGACAATACCAGTAGAAAAAACATTGTTTTATTATAACTTTAGTATTATAACTTCATTCTTCGCCATAAAGTTCCATCTTGAATATTCATATTAATTTTAGTTATTTCTGCTTTTTATTATTTTACATCCTTTTAAATCTAAAATAATAAAAATACTTAAAATAATATTAAACATTAAATAGATATACTTTGTTAAATTATAATAATAATTGTTTTAGAAAATACTTTAAAATAGTCTTTAAATAAAATGTGTTCAATTTTAAAATTGATTTTTTTTTAATATTAGCTTAATACATTACTCTAAAAAATACTGTCTTTTTATCCGACGGAGTTTTATTTTGTTCTTTTTTTCTGATAGTCACGTATTATTATTATTATTGCGCACTGCAAACAGGGAGCGACAAAATCTCTCTGGCTGTGAAAAGGATGTTGTTCTTTCGTCTCGGATTTTCATTCAGCTTCTTTTTTTGCTAGTTACATCCGAGCTCTTGTACCGGAATTTGTCTCGCGCGTTCTTTCTCACCGATCATTATATTTCTGTCGTTTTCCTCTGCAGTTTCATAAAAGAGGCGCCGCCGTTGTAGTTTTTTTATTCCGAACGCTCTCGATTACTCCGCTTGTTATTTTCAACGCCGTGGATTCGAGATTTGCCGAATCCTAATTGCAAAGGAGGGAAATGAAATGCTTTTAAGACCTCTATAATATAATCTAAACATCGTGACGCAGGAGCCGCTCGTTTTCGCATGCACATGAGAGAGAGACACACACACATGCATACGAAGTAACAAAACAGAGGACACTTGCTTGAAATTTTTATGACCCCATGAATTTGTAATCACAATTACCAGCCAACCCTCCTTTGCTCTCGTGCGAAAGTGGAAGAGAGCGAGCGCTTTTGAATGGCGCGCCCTCGCAAAATCTGTCCGACGATCCCTCTTTTCGGCCCGATTTTCTGCACGGTTAAATTCATTTTAGGGTGGAAAATGTGAAAAATGACAAGGTTTTTAAGAAGAATTGAATAAAAATTTGCCGAAAAATTGACAATTGAAAGAGATAAAAAGAAATATAATTAATATTTACAATAGATGATAAATTTAATTAAAAACAAAATCCTCAAATGCTACAAATTTTCATGTAAAATTAATTTAAAATGCAATATTTTGCATTTGATGATTTTATTATTAAATTTTTTAATGTTTTTTTCTTGTGAATTTAAGCAAAGCTAAAAGCCGATCTTTTTGGCAACATGTAACATTAGAAATTTACAAAGTTTTTGCCTAATCTTTCATCCAAAATTGGGATTTTTCTCTTGGAAAACTTCAAATATACCAGGTCATCATTAAAAACTTTCATATATTACTAAAATTCATCCCTGGTAAATTTCTTCGGGAGAATTCATTTCAAATTTAAACCATTTTATACAAAATGTTTTGTTAAAAAAGTAAAAATGCAGCTTTAAATAATATTTTTCACACACAAAAAATGTTAATTTAATGGAAAATATTTTTTTACAGATTGATTTTTTACTAATTCTTCTCGAAATATGATTTCACAGCTCATGGATTATAACTGCAGCCCGCAGTCAAAACATGAAGAGCAGGATATTGGTTTTTTCTTAAACACAGAAACAAAACATCAAGGCAAAACCGACTTTAAATTCAAATTTCTAAATTTTCTAAGAGAATTCAAAAATTGGGCGAGAAAACCAATGCTCGGAAAACTAATTAAAATGTCCAAATTTCCACTTTTAATTGGAAATTTTAAATCTTCTCATAAACAGGTTAGGATTTATGTTTCCAAATAAAAAAAAATCCACTTTCAATTCAAAAAATTAAGACAAACGGCAATGCACAGAAAATTTAAAACGAAAACAGGAATACACTTTAACAACACAAACCTGACGCAACTCTACACAGAAAAATTATGTGATGAAAAACACTCGCACTAACAAATTAACATCATTCAAACCATTAAGTTGAAATTCGCCAGAAACCGGAAAACCATTGAGAAAAATTTTGTCTAAAGTTCAATTGGAAAGGAAATCCGGGAAGCACTTTGCAAATTCAAACGCGTGTGAATTAGTGATGGCGCGCGTGAAAAGAAAGTCATTTATCCGTTCGTGTGCAGCGCGCGGGTGCTTAATTCATGAGCGCGTCGGACGGCCGGCGAGAGCGAGGGGGTAGTTTTGCGAATGGCCCTCGCCACCGCCGAGTTCTCTCTCTCTCTCCTTTCTTAATTATTCAACGGCGACATTTTATTATTTCATGATATTTACACTTTGGCTGCACACGCGCGCGTGCTTATTAAATGTTTCATCGCGGGCGCTTTTGCAAAGGGGCCATTGTGATTAAAATTTGATATTAGAGGCAATTCGCGCGCGCCCATCCATTATTCAGGCGGCCCACAGATATCTCTCCGCTCTGTGTGTGTGTGTGCGTTGGCCAGCCATGAATTAAAGACGATATCGATTGAGACCACCGTCTGGAGAAACTAAAACTCTTGTTCTCGCCGCCGGCCCATACGAAAGACAAAATACAAACGATGCATTTTATTTTTCATCCCCCACCGAACGCATTAAATGTATTATATTTTCTTCGTTCGGCACGCTTTTAACGATCTCACATATAATATTTTTTATTGGCGTTTTTATTTACGGGCGAGTGTAAAAATTGACACGCCGAATGAAATAATAAAAGGACGCCGTTCGGTCTATGGCGGATGATTGCGAGTAAAATTCAAATTTATGGGAACAAGTTTCTCCTTAAATTACCTATTTATGTTGCTCATTGAATTGGGGTGGAATTTACCGCTTTGCAAATTGACACCTTCCTTTCTCAAGCAATTTTGTGAATTTGTTCATCTTTATTTGGTGGTAAAAATTAATTTAATTAGGAGAAATTGACACTCGATGAGATGATCATGGAAATAAAAAGATCAGGATTTTCTTCATTGCAAAAACTATTTTTTTATTTTTTTTATTTAAAAACAAATGGCTCTACCAGTTTTGTTCACGTCTGCGACCCTATTTCATGAGCAAGAAAAATACAAAAAAAAAAAATCAACAAATTGGAGGGAAAAAACACATTTTAATAAAACAAATTAATTACATACATAAATTATAATAAAATTTCAATTTTTATGCTAAAATGGGGTTTTTTTTTCAATTTTGCAGACTTTTTGTATTCTTTCTTGCTCATGAAATAGGGTTGCAGACCGTGACTGAAACTGGTCGTTTTGTTTTTGAATAAAAATATTATCGCAACGAGGATGAACCTGATCTCTTCATTTCCATAATTTTTTCTGCCTTATTTCGTAATAAATGTCCTCATCAATATTTTGTTACGAGAAATATATTCAATTAATAATTTTAATCTGATTTTGATTCAATAATTTGCATATTGCATTAAAAATATGATTCACAAGCAATAGAAATGAAAAAACTGTTGTTTTTGTGTGATTAAATTTCAAAAAATCAACTGAAGATTTTGATTTCCCCACTGTTTCTATGATTAAAAATTCTCTTTTATCACATTCCAAAACTCCTTGAGAAATCAATTATTGAAAATCTTCTTCCGTGTTTCAGGCAAAACTTCTCGAGTCATCGCACGCCTGGCTGGGAGCTTCAACTTCTTCAATTAATGGTAAGTTCTGCACTCTCCACAGAGTGTCCCAGTCTCATATTCATGTCCTTTATCCTTTGCAAATTAACGAGCAGCATAGTTATTATAATTAATATCCAAGTCTGCGTATCGCATCGATCAATTAAATTAATAACCCTGATGATTCGTTTCGCTGACGAATTATTATAAATAATTGCGCTGCCGTTGGTTTCGCGTCGCCATTATTTATTATTTACATGTCATTAATTCCGATGTAGTCCATAAATTCAAAACATATTTGCCAATCAGTAAATTCATATTCTAACTCATTATCATGGCGTAAATGCAAGTAAAATTAACATTTCCTCTCCGCTGAATAATAAATTTTTTTAAATTATCTGACGTGGCCAAAATAAGGGAAATTTTTGATTGCCTCCGCAGCAAGGATGTGAAATTTACGGCCGTGTGTTGACACAAAAAGTAATATAATTTTGTTTTCATGGATTTGATGCCGCACGTGCCGGGAAAAATCTCGTTCGAGGAAATTCGGCAAATTGGCTATATTATTTGTTTTTGATGCGGACCAATTTTTCATTTCCAATTAACTGTGAAGCGAAAATACAACAAATAAATGGCAGCGGCGAGGCAAAAAATAATAATAATTTTTAAAGCAAACAACGCGCGCTCTCGCTCAGCAGCAAAAACACACCAGCAATTTTTCACCGAGAGCAACAACAGCAGGCATGGTCGTGTGTCTCCTTTTTATTTATTTTTGTTTCTATATATTTTATTGATAAAATAAAAATGCCCGTGTTTAGTTTTCTTGCGCCACGGCAGCCGTAGGAAATAAATAAAAAATAAATAAAAAGCCCGTCGATAAATTTGGCAATGATTGATTGTGAGCAGCGGTTGCCGACCGAAAATAAACAAAATGATGTATTCTGTACATGATGTGATTAATTCAATGAAGAATACACAAGTATGAAAAATTTGTAAAAACATTTTTCTTCTTTATTGTAAAAGTGATCAATAAAAGTAGAATAATTGACATTTTACTATTTTTTGTAAAGATGGAGTGGAAAAATAAATTATTAAAATTTTTATGCATGAAAATTTACACAAACATTTGGTTTTGTTTAGATTGAAATGACGCGACTGAGAAAGTAAAATGTAATTAATTTATAATTTATAAGTATAATTTATATTTTTATTCTAAATAATTACTTTTTTTAATATTTTTAACCCTAATTAATATTATTATTATATTAATATTATTCTTTAATTTAGTTCAAATTTTTTTAAACATATTGATTTTATATATAATTATTATATTTTATGCAATATTTACTCCAATCAGTTAAAATTACAGATGGTTAATATACAAAAAAAATTAAATTTTGGCAAACGGGGTCACAATTAAAATTACGGTATTATGGTATTTCCATAATTTATATATCCTATTCATGAGCGGTTTTTAAAGGAAATAATTATTAATATTTTCGCCTTTATAAATTTAATTTAATTGAAAATAATTTTAAAAATTTCATTTTTTTAATTTTACATCAAAAAATTAATTTTAACTGTTATAAATAAAAGTCAAGTACCGTTTAAAGAGCTTGAAGTGAAGCAGCTAATTGAAAATACACCACGTGCCGCGTTTTCATCGCGATATATGCACAAAGCGGCGGCGGCGGCTGCGGACGAGTTTCGCGCTGCAGATCAGGCCGGCGGAGTAAGGTTTTGGCCGGGTTAATTTAATCAAGATTCGCTCTCTCTCGTGTACTCGGAATAATCAATGAAGTTCAGGGCCTCGAGTCACACGAACGCACGCACGCCGAACGCGCAATCACACGCACAGTTTGCCCTTTCAACAATAATTACTAATTGATCACCTGCAAAGCAGCCCAATGAAGCGAAACGCGGTCTCCGGAGTTGTTAGCTCACTTTTGCCGCCACCGTAACATCGTGTTTGATAATCGAGCCTAATTTTACATGCAAGTTTGGAATCTTTGGCAAATTTCAATAATTATTCATTTAAAAGAGAAAAATAAAATAAATAAATAAACCCTATTAATTTTGATGGTAATTTTGCTTGGTTTTTCAGTTCCAAGGAGACATAGTAAGAATAATTGAATTTATTGAGAGAAATGAAATTTTTAAATAATTTATTATTGTTTCTAATGGGAATTTTTTTTTCTTAAAATTGGTGCCACCAAAATTGATAAAAATTCCATCAAATCACGTTCATATCACCCCAAAGCAAAAATAAATTAGTTTAGTCTACATAAAAAATTTGCATAGATCTCGACCTTATTCGAGAAAAGGTCGAGAAGTTTTTCACAGTTAAAAATTATAAGCTTCTTTGTTAAACAATACGTTTGTTTACATTCAATTGTTGAAAACAAATTATTCAGTTCAACAAAAAAAAATTACAGAATTGTTTTAAAGTTCACAAACGTTCTTAAAACTCGTTTTTTATTAATTTTTTAAATATATTTTCATGTTATTTTTAGAACCGAAATAAATTATATTTTACCCAGTCTGAATAAAATTATTTTTCTTCTTTCTGTTAAATTTATTTAATAATCGGTTTAAAAATAATAAGATTTCATTTGGGAATTTTTACCGCGTCCCTGACCAGCCTCTTAATTGGCATTATTTCTGCAGGCTTTTCGCTCTCTCATTATATTCTTGAGCAAAACGCCTCAATTTTCTGATTTGCCGGCAAACCGCAAGGAATTTCTTATTGATTTACTATTAACGCGTATCTGCGGGGCAAGCTTATGAATAAACGATTTTGTTTGCCGCTGTAAAATTATTAAATTACACATTACGTTTGCGAGAGTAATGAGCAGTGGCGCGGCTCAATTCAAAATAATAAATTCAACTGCGCGGCAGAAAAGTAATAATTATTTGCATTATTGGCCTTTAGTGCTCTCTCTGCTCGCATCGGGTAATTACAGCTGCTTTTCATTTTGATTTCAAAGCAAGGCAGATCATTAAAGTCGTCAAATTTCCAACTCGGCTAATTCATTCGTGGAATCGGCTTTATATTTAAAAAAAGTTTTTCGTGCAACAGAAGATGAGAGGAATGATGAGTGGAGAAGTCATGTAATATTTTTACATTTATATTCAGACTGTTTGCTTTTTGTGAGAGGTAAAACAAATTCTGCTTTAACGGTTTAAAAAATGCTTGCTACATTTTTATGTGTGGGGTCATTTTAAGATCAATATTAAAATATAAAAAATAGACCGTAATCTTTTTATCTCGTTTTATTTCGATTAGCGGAATATTCTATCAATTTATTTGAATATGAAATTAAGTGAAAACAATGAGCAATGAAATGAAACAAGTGTGCCGTCCGATCTTGGCGGAAAATTGTATTCAAGTGAATAATTATTTAAATATGGCAAACATCATTTCTTTGTTTCCATGCAGAGGCTACACTACTAGGCTTTTATAGCCATTTTATGACTTGGATTGTTCAGTATTACATGGCATTACAAAAATATTAATAATGAATATTAAAAAATCAAAATAACGGAATTTTTTATGCTTTTTATTAAAAGAAAAATAACTTGTTAATAAGAATTATATTAAAATCAAAAAATTAAATTAAAAAATAATACACAGATAAATATAAATTTAAATTTTATAATAAAAAATAAATATCAGTTATATAAAAAAAGGTTGGATTACACTTTAAAATTAATAATTATAATAATAATAATCAAATGTTAATGAAAGAAAATTTATATTAAATTAATTAAATCAATTATATGATCCTTAAAAGAAATTAAACGTTGGATGCAGAAGTTAAGTGAAAAAAAAAACAATAAAATTATGTTTGTAAAACGAATTAAAATGTCCAAATTTCAGCGTTTTACAAACATTGGTTTTCTCGCCGAGTTTCTGAATCCACATTAAATTACTTTCGGAAAATTAAAAATGAAACTGCTCGGCACAACTCTACACGAACACGAAAAAAAACCACTCGGTTGCACTAACAAAATCTACAAAAAATTAAATGATTAACTTCCTTATCTACTTAATTGATAATTATAAAAGTGACGTCGGTGTAATGTTGTCTCCAATATTAATGTCGTCACAAAAATTTATTAGCGGCCAATTAATTTTATTATATTTTTATTGCTCGGCCTTGGAACTGATTTTGAAAACAACTGAAACGATAAAATGCCCACATCATTAAGAACGCGTCGGAATTGATTGGTGCTAATCTGCTGGAGAATTTTCAGACAGGGCCCGAGCGTAATTCAATAATTCGCCAATATCGAGTTATTGATGCGACGCTGCCGGTATATTTGTGTCTGTTAATAAACAAGGACGCGCACGCAAATCTATTTATTAAACATCTATGGTCGGCTGGGTCGGACGAGAGAGAGAGAGGAGAGCGGCGATGTGTGCGAGAGAGAGGCGCGCAATTTAATATTAATTCAACCCTAGCTGCCACACTCGGCTTCATTTCTCACTGTAAATATTTAATTTCTAATTACTATTTGACTTGCGCTGCATCGGATCCGCCGCCGCCGCCTCGTGAATTCGGATTTACATTCATTCTCATGTCTATAGCTACATGAATATTGTATATTCCACGCCGCGTATACTGTACATTATTAATTATACACAAATTGGCCCGCCACTCTAACTAATTAAGGAAGAATGGAATAGAGAAGAGAGCGAGCCGAGCCATCGAGAATTCAGCGCCACCGCGTGCTGCACATTTAATTATTCAATTGAACTCTTGAGAAGGGCCACTTTGTGTTTTTCTTTCACTCTACCGCTGCCCCTGAAAAAAAATCTTCAGAAAAAGTTCATATTGGCCCCTATTTAAAAATCGACTAAAACCGACTCTTTCTTTAATTTTAGACTGAAGTGACCAACTTTTTAAATTTACATGAAGTGGAAAGCAAGGTTTTGTAGAGTTTCAAACAAAATTCCTACGAATTTCTGTTAAAAAAGATATAATATTGAAAAAGAAAAAAAATATAATTTAAAAAAATCTAAGTATTTTTTCCAAGCAAATGAAATTAGAATTAAATAAAACAATTTTATTCGTCATTCCATTTATTTAAGAACCTCCCTTTTGAAAAGCGCCAGCGCGTGAATCCTGACTAAAGACCTCAAGAGGTCTGAAATTATATTGATTAAAATTTAATCTCTAAAAATTTGGCCAGAATTATGTTTTTGTGTATTTCATTGCAAAAAATACCAATTATATAAAATAGAACGATGATTATGGCAAAAACCAACTAAGAAGTCGACTAAATTTCCGTAAAATCGTCTAAAATGCATGGGCCCAACGTAAATGAGCCTTCAGTTTTTTTTTTTTTATTTATTTAATTCGTAATATCATTGATAAGTAATTAATGATTTCCATGGTCTAATTTGTGAAGTAATTAACAGTAAAAATTTCAATGTTTAAAAAAAATTAACATTGTCGCAATGCAAAAAGTTAAATTATTGATGCTGATAGTTTTTGGCAGTTTTTGATAATTTTATTTTAGTAGCCCAAAATATATATTAACTCCAGGTGTGTAAGTTCCTTTTTATTCAAATTGTTTCTTCTCTCGTGTTTTGCAGACAGTTACCAGTACCAGTTGCAGAGCATGTGGCAGAAATGCTGGAACACAAACCAGAGCCTGGTGCACAACCTGCGTTTCCGCGAGCGCGGCCCCCTCAAGTCATGGCGGCCAGAGACGATGGCCGAGGCCATCTTCTCGGTGCTGAAGGAGGGCCTGTCGTTGTCGCAGGCGGCCAGGAAGTACGACATCCCGTACCCGACGTTCGTCTTGTACGCCAACAGGGTGCACAACATGCTCGGCCCGTCGGCCGACGGCGGTGCAGGTGAGAGTCGGTTAGGCAAGTTGGATTTATTTTCAGTTTTTCGCCTCCTTATTTCTTTTGCCGCCTCATTCCATGTAATAATTTGATTCATTTCCATCTATACCGTTTTTAAAGTTTTTTGTAAATATATAAATTGTTTCAAGCGAAATTCTTTCGTCAATTGCAGATTTGCGGCCGAAAGGTCGAGGTCGTCCTCAACGCATTTTGCTCGGCGTTTGGCCGGAAGAGCACATCCGCGGTGTGATTCGCGCCGTCGTTTTCCGCGACCCGGCCCACATAAAGGAAGAAGCCCAGACTTTAGCTAGACTGGTAAATTAATTTCTATATTTTCGTCATGTTAATCGTCTTTCCAAACCTTAAATTTAAGTGTAAGAAAAATTGAAATTACCTATTTATATTCTCTATAAAAATAAAGTTGAAAAATTATTTTCATTATTTTATTTCTTTCTTTTTGATAAGAATCTTTAATAATTGGTTTTCATATTTTTTTAAATAATTTATATATATTATAATAAATTATTTTATTGTTACTTTTACCCAGTTTGTATACTTTTTCTTAATCCTTAATTTTGGCAATTTCATTCAGTTAAAAGGTACAATAGCAAACATTTTTAAGTTTCTAATAATATTAATAAACATATATTATTTAATAGTATATGTTTTATTTAAATGAAACTCTGAGATTACTTTTTTAATTCATTTCTTTCTTTTTTTAGTATTTATAAATTATAATTATATAATTTTATTTTATTTCTTGTATTTCCACTCTTCAGATTTAGAATAGCTAACATATCATAAAATAATCTATTCTCTATTTTAAGGTGTTATATGTTTATAAATAATTTTGTAGCAGCCAAACTTTTAACAGTTATTTTAAAGAAAATTGGTAGTTTTGCAAGCGGATAATTGTTACATATTATTATATATTCAGTTAATTAAAAATACTAGCATTTTAATATTAAAAAATTTATTTAGAAAATAATTAGTAAATTACTAATTCAAATATATTTTCCTTTTTTTTAATTTCTTTTATTATTAATAAATATAAATCGACGCCTGATTTTGTTTTTTCAGTACTGCATGCAAGACCCAATGGCGCAGTCACAGCAGCAGCAGCAGCAACCCTTTCCGAACCTGGCCCCGAACGGTTCGATGCCCGACGGCGGCGGCCGTTCGGTCACGCCCACGCCCAGTTCTGCGGCGGCCGCCGCAGTGGCCGCCGTGGCCCAGGGCCTGAGGCAGCAAATGTGCGGTCTGGCCGCGCCCGGCAGCGAGGCCGGCGGCCAGCAAGGGCCGTCGAGCGCGGCCGTGGCCGCGCTGGCCTCTGCGCTGCTGGGCCGCGACGCCGCCGACAACATGCACCAGGCGGCGGCCACCGCGCTCAACAACAACACGATGAACGCGCTGCTGAACAACGGCACCGGCGGCGGCGGCCTCCGCGGCCACCCCGCCAGCATGGCCGCCCTGACCAACCTGAGCCAATACAAGCAGCACTCGTTGTTCGGGCAGACGCGGCCGTCCGAGGTGATGTACCAGGAGCACGAGTCGGCGGACGAACAGGCCAAGAGCAATCACCACCAGCACCACCCGATGGACGGCGTCGACGAAAACGACGGGCTGCACCATCAGCAGGTCAAGCCCATGGACAGCACAAACGCGGCCGTGCTCGACGCCCGAGTCGAGTGAATGACTTTCCGAGCGTTTTATTCAGAGCATTTATTTGAATAAATGCACGTGTCAAATATTGTAAATGTATTCGCGTCAGGCCGAGGTTGTAGATGGCCCCGCACTGACCGAGCTTTGGTGTGAGAGAGAGGAACGTCCGCGATGCTTAATTGTGCAGACTTTGAAATTCAGAAAATGCCGCCACATTTTGCTATTTTAAAATTTTATTTAAATTTTAATAGATTTATAATATATTTTATTCAATTTTTATATATTTTAAAAATACCTAAAGCCAGGCAAATTTTCCGCTGCAGAGGTGAAAAATTTTATGGACCTGTAAAACCCAGACAGTTTTTGTAAAATATATAATATTTTTGCGATTTACAATTGTTTTTGGTTGGTACCAAAAAAAAATTGAAACATCAATCTGGGCTTCGTGGTTTCGCAATTAAAATCACTGCCGATCATATAAAATGTGAAAGATTGTTAGGCACGATGCACGATTGGAGTCATAATTCCTCAAAAATGAACAGCCTTGGCTGTGGGAAGCGGTCATTTTTCTTTGTCCAGTGTCAGCATTTATAACATAAAAGGCATTAAAAATTCATGACGTGCCCATCATCTTTAGTTTCCCTTGTAATCGATTATTCCAAATTTTATGCACATAAAAATAGAAAATAATGACGCAGTTGGATGCAAATTCTGCCAAATGATTTGTTATTCACACACATATTTAATTTGTGTGTCTACTTAATTTTGCATATAATTTGTGGCTGTGAATGTATAATTTTGTTCAATCAATGATGAAAAAATATATATTATTTAAAGGTAGCGACACTATAGAGACTCCTAAAATCTCAGAGGTATTAGTGCGGCTTGTTTTATAATTTCATAATATAATAGATAATTTTAAAATACTTTTTTAAAAAGAAGCGTCAAAATTATAAAAGAAAAGGCCAGGTTTTGATGGGAGTGAGTCACGAAATCGTTTTGGTCCTGTGATACAGAATTTAGACTCGCTCTCAGTGTATATATAATATATAATTTTTTGTAAAATCGAATAGTCTACGTATTAGGCGCGGCAGTTCATGATGTGTGAATGTGTATAAATTATATATATATATATATAAATTAAAACTTCATTATAAAATATATAAAAAGATTACGGCGCGTAATTGTGTTGTTTCAATGTTGGATGGTCATGCGTATAATAATATCATAGTGCGACATATTTGTGTAAATTTCAACCCCTGAGTTGAGTTTTCGATGTTGAAAGTGGCCTTCCAGCGTTTCGGACACCCCAAAACACGCAGGTCCAGTCAGCAGAGATTGCAAAACATCTTTCGGCTTCGACAAGCGCGGATTTAAGAGTTTGCTCGAGCTCGGTGCCTCAACCTGCAATTTGACAACAGACTGGTGGATTTAATTTTGATTTTCTTATCGATAGACATTTTAATTTTTAATACCACCAGTCATGAGAGCAAAAGAAAATGATAAAAAAAACTTCAGGCGCAAAAACAAGACATTTAGGCATTTTTGATTGAATGTGTTCAATGTAAAGAAAAATCAATTCTATTTAAGGGAAAAGTAAAGTGCCTTTTGAAATCTCTTTCTATTTAGATAAAAATAAAGCAGTCTGATTAAATCAGATATTTTTAAAATTCATCTCTTTCGTATAAATAAAAAATAAGAGCACAAAACGGCACGCACGAATCAAGGACTTAACATATTCGTATCAAAAATAAAAATCTTGAGGCCACCATTAAAATATTGTATAACTGCTGAGCGGTCATTTCACTGATAAATAGACCTGAAGTCGCTTATATTTGAGGGCAAATTAATTCCAAAACGCACACATTTGATTATTACTGCTTGCAGGCCTGTTTTTTTCCTCCATTAATTACGATCACACAAAACGCGCACCGCATATTTCATGTTTTTGACGCTGACGATTTAATACACACACTCTATGAAATATCAAACTGTTATAACCCTTTTACGATGAAACTACACGTAGAATATGTAAAGTTTACGTCAAGCGCATTCGGATTTAGTACAAGGAGAGCTAATGGAAAAATAGTGTAAATAAGTGGCAGACTATAATTCTCAGAAGAATCATATTAGTAATTTATTTAAAGTAAAAACACAAGATTCGAGTTTTATCCATGAGAATGTTGTATAAAAATTATCGCAAGTAATTCACTTTTTTATCAAACAATCATGCTGGTACAAAATGCAATATTTTATAATCTTAATTTTTAAAACGCAACAAGTACAAAATTATACCAATTGATATTGCATTTTTGTTTTCATTTTCCGCAGAGATATAGACGAGATGAGGCAATAGCCTTATCTCGAATGATGTACGGAGAATTGTTCCATGGATACTTGTTCCAAGCGTGGAAAATTTCATCGCAAGTTTTAATATTAATGCTTTTTAACAAAATTTTATAAAGATTTATTTTAGAGGCATCAAAATTTGCAACAATACCCAAACATTTTCAAGTTAAATTTTTGTGGAAGATTGAAAATAATATATTTAAACTTAATATTTACTAATTTTTGTTCAATGAATGTAATTTAAAAACAAAAAATCGAGAAACTCCAATGCTCATTTTCATTATATTGCTAAATTAATTCCAATAAATTATACTGCAAAAAAAATGTAAAATGTATAGCAATGAAATGTATTTATTTTGCAGTTGTTTTGTTTAAATTAAATACTTAATTTTCCGATTTGTCAAAATGTAGATTGTTAAACAATCTAAAAACTTCCTTTGCTACTAGAAACTAAATTGAAATCAGGGAAGGAAAATCTTGATTTCTTTAAAAAAAAAATATTGAAATAAGGTAATAAAATAAACAAAATATTAAAATAAATTTACATCTTTTATGGATATGCATTTGATAAATTTTTACTCGCGTGGAACAAGTCACCACGTATTACGTGGCATGTTACATGATTCTTGGAACAACCCTCCAATAACTCTCGGTGGAACAATTCTCCTGCAAATAACTTTCAATTCACGCAGCTTTTCATTCGCTTGTTTATCATTTTCCAAGCTAAAAACTACTTTTTGAGTGCCAAAGATCTATCTTTTTCAAATAATTTGCAAAGCAAAATACAATGGTGTGTAACTTAAGTAAGAAAGAAGTCTTATTAATTATTGAAAATATACTTGTAGCTCACATTGTTTCATCTCATATGTACAATAAGTGTAACTACCATAGCGTAAGAGGAGAAAATTGTTCACGCAGATCGACGACCCTCTTTCTCTCTAACAAGTCAGTTTTAAAATGATATACGATTAACGCAAATTTAAAGAACGCTGCTGCTAAAATGCAGATACAATTGCAGTTCGGAACACACAAGAGTGAATGCTGTGTTGGTTTGACATCAACATCATCGACAGTGATAAAAGGAAAAATAAAAATGTATATTGAAATATTATAACATCCACCATCGCAACCATTGGTATTCAGTGTTATCATCAGGCTAATTTTTCTTGTTATTGTGATCCTTGATTTGCTGTAAGAGTAATTAAGTGTATTGATTGTCCAATAAAGCATAGATCTTATTACTATAAATTACAATCTGAGCTTTCCTATGCATCTCACTTATTTTCAGCCGTCGGGGCCGACGGATTTTTGGTGGTCGACTTGTTTTCCTGAGAATATTTCACCACCCACTCATGCTTCAAGATCTCGGCAAGGGGCAGACGCCGACTTGGTTTTCTCTGCAACACCTGGCAAAAAGAATTGTTAGAACTTCTCGACAAAAGCTGTTTAGTTCGGTACTTTAATTATGAGATCTTGAGCTGATTCGGAGACGTGGGGTGGGAAATGAACAGGAGCTTGAAGAATGTTGTTGTAGGTGGCGTCGTAATCTTTGGCTTCGAAAGGTGGCTTTCCAACCAAGAACTCGAAGCACAATATTCCAACACTCCAAATGTCAACCTTTTCGTCGTGAGTGTGCCCGGCCACCATTTCCGGAGGAAGGTAGTCCAGAGTGCCGCAAACAGTGTCTCGCCTGAAAGTAATAATTAAATACAATTAATCTGACCATGCGAAACTAATTGGGCACTCAAAGAGACATAATAAAAAGTAAAATAAGATTATTACAAGTCTTTTAAATTATTATAGAAATGGAGAGTAGCAAAGCTTTAATACCTTGAAGACGGCGCATGAACGGACCAGCCGAAATCAGCAATTTTTAAGGAGTTGTCAACCCCAAGCAACAGGTTTTCAGGTTTGATGTCTCTATGGATCACATTCTTCGAGTGGCAGTAAATCAGGGCATCAGCAAGTTGCGAAATCAGCTTAGCAGCCCTAAAGATACATCAATTAAAATTCAAATCATTAATTATTTATTGTTTCAAGTATTAATTGGAAACTCACATTGACTCCTCAAAACGTTGATTGGGCTGCTTTTTCATAAACCGATACAACTCTCCGCCAGGAGCATATTCAAGAATGAGATACACCCGAGCATCATCGTGGAAGTAGCCGAACATGCGAAGGATGTTTGGATGCCTGAAAAAATTAAAGTTAGGAACTGCAATTTGCAATCACTGAATTCTACCGTAGATGTGTTTGAATTTCAATTTCTCTTTTCAGCTGGTGATCAACTTTGGCCTCTTTGATTTGCGACTTGAACAGCACTTTGATGGCAACAACGAACTGAGACACCTTCTCTCTCGCCAAGTACACCTGGCCAAATTTTCCTTTGCCCAAACCTCGGCCGATGTCAAAGTTCTCCAACTTCCAACGTTTCCTGAAGAAGAAACAAAACAAAAAAATCAGATACCGAATTTGTAAATTATATGAAAATTATTTACCCATTTTTGGTTTCTGGCTGCTCCTTTTTAGCTTCGACATTCTTCGAGCTTTCTTGTGAGGTAGAGGCTTTGGCTGTGGTCGAGACTGGAGCGTCTCCCGCTGGGCCAATCGGTTTCTTAGCAGGTGGAGCAGGTGGCTTTATAAATGTGCCCGGAGTCTCAACCTTCACTTCAGGTGCTTGCGAAGGCTTCGGGGCACTGCATGGAGCTTCAGCTGATTTTGTAGAGCTCACGATGGGCACACTTTTCCTATAATTTTAGTTTTCCAAACAATTAGGAATTATTCTGAATTTTAAAAAAAATAATTAGTGAAAAATTTAAAGCCTCCTTCATTAAAATCTCTTATTTACCGAGGTGCAGGAACTGGGTAAGGTTTGGTGCTGGACGTCGACGCAGGTCTGTTCGAAGTCGCCAGCGATGTGCTTCCAGTTTTCAACGGAGCGGCCGCCGTCTTTTTGATGACCAGAGGAGCCGAGAGAGGCCTCGCCCTGGGCAAGGGTCGAGGCACGTTGCTGCCCACACTAGCCAAGCTTGCTGCTGCTGCTGCCTGACGGGGAACAGGTTGGGCCGCAGCCGTCGAGACACTCGAGACCGCTTCGGCCGACGCACTCAACGGCCGAGACGAAGTCCCCATGCGGATTCGGTTCTCTTTCCCTCGCAGACTCGCTGCCATCGTCCTCGGCCCGGACACACACTGCTCTCGTTAAATGGACGACCGGCTTTCTAAAGCGAAATTCTCTGAAATCGTGACACAAAGTCAGTCTATTTTTCCTACCGAAATGTCAAGTGAGAATCACAGTTTTCAAATATCTCGCCTTGGTGGAAATTTAAAGAACTTACCAGCTATTTTTCGTGAAAAGTCGACAAAATTCCATGCGTGAACTTTGGACGGGAAGGTTGTCCGTTCGTCCGTCCGTTGGAGGTTAGAGCGGTGGCGCGTAAATTTGAAAATGACATTTAAACTTAGGCAGTGCTGCCGAGTGTCGAAGATCGGAATTTTCATCTTTGAAGCCACGCCCACCTGTTTGGAGGATCCATCGACAACAGCTAAAGTAATGCGAATTTCATTTAAAAAAATGTAAAATTCTGACTCTTTCCAGCAGAATTTTTTGAAATGTACGTCCAGGATGTTCGAAGACCTTTTGCCAGTGACAGGTATAGTCAATAATTATGCTTTTGTCGAAATTTTATGTCATTTTAAGGGATTTATTTTACTCTTGTATTGCTTGGAATTTTTTATGCGTTTATATTATATGGATTTGATAGCAAAATTAGAAAGTAAATAAAAGATCAAAGGTTAAAGGATGGATTGAGAGATTGGCTTTACCGACGACAGGTGGCATTTGCACCTTTTGCTGCAGAATCTATTCGGAGTCGGAAAAATTTATGTTCCTCTTTGTATTTTAACGTTATTATATGATTTAATTTATTAATTCGCATGACAAAAGGTCAGAATAAAAAAGATTTATTTTTCTAATTTTAATGATTTTGAGAAAAAATTATAAAAGGTATATTTTGATGCGCAATAAAATTTCATTATAATAAGTTTTACTATTGAAATTGCCATTTCTTCGTCATTTTTTCTGCAAATGAGAAAACCATTTTAATTGACACTGTCAAAACCCCAAAATATATAATAATAATAATAATATAATAGGAACGAATAACAGGAGGAAAAATCAAATATTCATAAATTTATTGCAGTGAAAATTCTCAGGCTGATAAAATTTTCAACATATAAATGAGAAAAATCCTATTTTATAAAAAAAAATGTTTTTTTTATATAATATAAAATTTTTTTTCATTAACATTTAAAAAAAATTACTATAAATGACGAAGAAAATAATAAGTATGCGGTGTTTGACTGCAAATTAGAACAACATTATGTGATAAAAATCCATTTTATCGCATTAGAGAGAGTTGCTTCTCAATCCAAATAAACAAAGAAAGATTGAGAACTGCAACTCGGCTTTTTCGATAAGCCTGCAGATGAATAAACAAGAATTAATGCTCCTTGTGAATAAATAAGAAACCTGCCGAGTTGACACTCATTTGCCTTCTACTCGTGAATCAATTTTGCCATGGAGAAAAAGCAGGTGCCACCCGGTGAGTTGCAAAAATAATTTATGCAAACAATTGGATTTGTTTGCACAACTTAACAAGTTTGCCGAGATCTGCACTCGCATAATCGCGTGGGCAAAACAGCTTCGCGTCGCCGCTCTGATTAATGCAAATTGCGACATTTGAAAGTGTCGCCGGCGTGAAAACTAATGTTCTGTGTCGCATTCACGGCTGTCAAAACTCCCAAAATAGAGACGAATGGAAATTTCCTTAAATTTGATGAAATTCCTTTTTTGTTCCGTTTATTTGCATAAATTAAATACATTGGCAAAAAGAAACTCTGTAAGTACAAAAGTTTCAAAATATTCAATCCACAGAAGTGAGCCTAATTTAAAAAAAGTTTGAAATTTAAAAGAAAATTAATTTAAAGATATTTTGTAGGAAACGTTTTTAATTATGTAACATCAATTATTATTAATCTTGTTTTTAAGCATCTACTAAAATTATAAAAAAACAAACTTCAAAAATTTCTTAATTCTTTATTCGAAATTATAATTTCATCTATTGGAAAGACTGCGCATTTTTTTATTGTTAGAAAAATCGCGACATTTAAAACTTTCCATTATTTTTTTTCCTTGATTGGTGCGGGGTCATTGCGGCGGGTCACTCGCAGCCGGTGAACCTGTTCTCGGTTGAGGTAGAAAGTGGTCAGAAGGCGCGAGTAGGCAGCACAGGTGTTGTGATGCAACAAAACGGCTAAGGCGCCGGGCGTGCGCCGCGACTTCGATTATAAATAAAATAAAAACGAGTCGCCCTTTTCTTCGCGCCCACTTTCTACAGGTTGCGATTTTTTTGTCTTTGCCAACACTGTCGGTGCCAAAAATCTCCATCAAATTTTTAAAAGTTGATTGCTTATTTTTTTTTTAGAAAGATTTATTATTATTTTTAAAAAAATTTTTTTTTGTTATGAAAAAATGTCTGAGCGTTAATTTATTAATTTTTGACTCACAATTATACTGAGCAATTTAATTAAAATATTTTTAATAATGATTTAATCTCATTTTGGTTTTCGAGTTTTTTCTCAACAAATTAATGAATTGATTGTGAGAAGAAATTGACACTCGAGGAGAAGATAATGGAAATGAAGTGATCGGGCTTTTCCATTTATTAATTGATTATTTTTTAATAAGCTCAAACTATTGCATTGTTTTGACTGTGGGGCAATTCGACTTACAAAACTAGCCCTGGCTGAAGATCAAGATTGACAGCACGTTATTGTTTCCAATTGACAGGCCAACAGACCTATTTTCTAAATATAAATGCAATCGCCCTAAAATTCCCTTTTTATGAGGTCAAGAAAATCTATCTTGAAAAAATTCATTCAGTGACAGAAGCGGACAGAAGTAATAAAATATTATATTTAATTATGTATTAATATTAACTTATTAATACTTGATACTTATTTACCTTTATTTATTAATTCATTTTATTATTTTATATTTTTTTTCTTTCTATTTTTTTCCAATATCATCAACCATCAGAAATTGAAATCTTTTTATTTTATAACAACCTATGAATTATTTTATGAGGGCGAATCACTGCAATTTTGTCAAATTATTGCTTAAATTTGACGATAAAAAAAAACAGGGACACACTTTGAAATCCTTTATTTTTTTATCTCACAAGAAATTACTGTTTATTTACGTGAGGCGATTTGGCCGGTGTCAATGCATCTCGTTGACTTGTCTTGATTCCTCTCTCTGCTGTCAAAGTGAAAATTGTGTCAACTCTCGTGCTGGCACGTTTGCCTCTCGCAATGAAATGACATACATACATGAAATAATGTGTCATTGCATCATATACGCGAGCACATCGTAAATCGACGCTAAAATCAAACGTGCGTGCCGCGGTCTCATCCAAAAAGCGCCCACTATATTCGAAATTCAAATCTGGGCCAGGCCGATTTGTATGGAGATTTCCATGCAAGCGCCAATATCTTCTTCAAAGGTTGTGCTGCAACGGCTTTTTTCGTTAGTTGTACACTTTTTATTTGAAGAGCTACTTTCGTGTTTTATAAGTGCTGAAATTAATTTTAATAAATACAGTTATTTCATCGTCCTTAATTGACTCAATTCAAGTTCAATTTGAGAGGAGAATCAATTTTTGTGTGTGTCACATTTCACTCTAAATTAAGTGATATTGTTTTCTTCAGCTCCAATAACATGATATATTATTTATTTGAAGCATAATTCCATATTTAAACGTCATAAAAGCATCATAAATTAAAACAAACGATTAATTTCTTTTATAGAAAATTATTTAAATTTTTAACAAAGTGTAACATTTTAAAATAATTTTAATTTGCTTTAACATCTTTAAAGGCATTTTTAACTTAAATTTGGTTACGAATCCTACAATAAACAATATTGGCTTAGTAATTATTTTATTTTTAATAGAACTTTTTATTGATGGGTATATTTTTTTTATTTAATATTTAAAAAAATTATATTTTTTTCCAATTTTTAGTTTATAATTTTATTTTCAGTCAAGTTGGAAAAATTATAATTATTTTGAAATTTGTTTAAATTAATTCCCATCTTTTCCATCCATTTTTTAGTGTAGTTTATACATTTATTAATTATTTGTTGTTGATTTCAATTAAAATAAAGTCCAACAAAAGAGCTCTGAAGCCGGTGTAGTGCTCAATTGACGCGGTCAAGCATCGCGATTCACGATTCCTTAAAATTTTGGCGAGAAAATATAAAGTGAAGCTGCTGCAATTTTGTCCGAAAAGTTGCAAAGTCGTTCCGGAGACTGGCTGGGGCAAATTGCTTAGAAATTGTTTGCAATCAGTCGTGCAGATGCAATTATTTTGGCGGACGGACGGACGAGCCTCATCTCGGACGCGATGTGGGTCGCGTAACGGGCTGGAATCCGCGGCCATTCAAATCACCTGTTCAGAAAGCAAAAACTCACTTGAGGACGGAAATCGTTATTGCGATGGCCAAGGTCTCTTGTTTTGATTCTCTTGAACCCATTAACACGCTTTTATCGCTCGCTGCTTTTTTTTCTCGTACTTTGGCGGCGACCCCAATTATCATCTTTAATTTTGATCTCACCGCAGGACATGAAAGCCTCGGATTATAATGGAATCGCCGCCGATTTCTTCAATGATTAATTGGTTCTTCTTAATTAGAGCGGTCAAGTTTTTGTTTTGATTCAACTTGACAAAACATTATCGATTACATTTTGCAAAATATATTCTTTGAATCACTTTGAATGTTGCCTTCCTTGTTTGTTTTTTAACCATAAAAAAATATTTATTTTTTATTGCTTAGATTTTTTTAAATAATTTAATTACCTCGTTTATCTGTTCTCGAAGTTCAAATCGGACCACACGCAGAAAAGCAGCCTCAAAAGTTTACAAATAGAAAATGCCATGAAGCTCTGAGAATAAATTAATGTAATTGTTTTAGTGATTTACTTATTCCTAAAATCTCTTCAATTTTGTCATAATTATATTATTTTATGTGCATTTTGTAGCAAAATCTAAATTATTTTTATTTAAAAATCCTAAAAATCATTACTCTCGTTTTTTTAAGTCAGTGAAAAAAATTTATCCACAAGTGAAGTTCAATCTTACAACATCATTAGCATTGAGAAGCATTTTTAAAAACAGCAAATTGGAAGTGGAAATCCAATTCTAAATCTGCTGCCGTCGACGCAACCCACGCAACTTTCACACAACGTCACATTAGCAAACAAAGGCGTTCGTTCTGTTCATTGTGCCAAAATAGAAAACAAAACTGACCTAAGAACTTGGTGCACTGTGAGAAAAAAATTTGTAGCTCTCATCGTGAAATCTCGCGATTCTAAAAACGAGTGAGAGTGACCTTGCCCCAGAACCTTGACTCCTTCTCTGAAAAAAGATTAAATAATGTGAAATAATGTTGCTCTCTCTGAGATGCAAATCTTCATTTGTTTAATACTTACTTGTACTTAATTTTTGATAAAAAATTTTAAATGCAAATTAATGAAGAGGAATAAGAAATAACAAGCAAAATTACAGCCATTTATTAGGTTTGATTGTGTTTTATTCTATTGAAAAACTTTCAAGTCAATATACTTTAGTGAAGAAATTGGCTCTCGAGGAGACAACCATGCAAGTCCTCGTTGCAAAAACTTGTTAATTTTTCTTCTCAATCCAGTAACGGAAACAAGTTTGTACATGCATTTTGCTGGTTGAAAGTTTTTTTTAAAGATCGTGTAATTTTTTTTTAATTAGCAGATTTTTGGTATTTTTTCTTGCTCATGAAATAAATTCGCTTTGATTTTGAATAAAAACTATCTTTTCGTCTCGGAAAAATCCGTCTTTGACACTTTAAAGCTCACAACGGTTTTAATGTTTAATTATATGCGACGTTTTAAGTGATATTTTTGTTTGATAAAAACATCATGCATTTCATCATCAGACATAAATTTTAAATTTTATTTTCCTGGTTCAAACAGAAGAAGAGGCTGAACATTTTTTCCTATATATTTGTTGTGCACAAAATAGGCTGATTATGAAAATTAAATAACATTAAAAAATTTAATATAGAGATAAATATTTAATTGTAATTTTTTATTATTATATTTATTATTGTTGTTGTTGTTTTGCAACTGAAACAAATACGCATTAATTAAGTTAAAAACCTTATGAGGCGCTATTATAATTCTTGTTGAGCTTTGCGTGTCTGGACATTTGTGTTATTCTCAAGTGACAGAGCGGCGGCGGTGTGCGTGAATTACAAGCGTTACAAACAAATAAATTAAATCTCGTGCGTTGCGAAGACGCGGTCATCTGAAGACCTAGATATTTGTAAATTCTCAATATACGAGCAAGATTAAACGCGCGCACGCAGGTCGGCCAAACTAGGCCGTTTGTCAATTGAGCCTCTTTATTAATCAGATATACACATCGCGCCTCTCAAAACAAATAAAATTCCTGCACCGGTGGATCAAGTTGGTGTTTTTTCAAGCGAGATTCATTTGCGTGTCAAGCTCGCATCTTTCCGTCTGAGTGAATTGCAGCTAATTTAATTGGCTTTTACCGCGAGAGAGCATTTATTTTCGTCAGCCAGTCATTCGAGCGCTTCGGCTAAATAGCAACATGATTACACGGCAATTATGTTATTCCAGATGGATATCGTGATTTGAAGCGTTTGATATGCTAATGAACTTGTATTGCAAAAATAGAAACTGCGAATTAAATTTATTTTTATTATAAAACCAAAATGTATGATGATATTCCAAAAATCTCTTTATCGATAAATTATTTAAAACGTTTAGAAAAACTAATAAAGTAAAAGGGCAAATGTCCAAAAATGCAAAATAGAAGTAAATAAAAAGAGTTAGTAATAAAAATGTTTCATAATTGTTTATCTATTTTTCACAAGCAATGGTTGATTTGTGATGTTAGAATTAAAATTTGTATTTCATTAAAAGATTTTGTTTCACTGGAAAAAAACTGGAAAAACTTCTTTAAATTTTTTGGGTATATAAGCAGAAGCTGTGAATTATTTTAAATAAGTTTGCTTAAAATTTAACCTTTTTAATTTTTTTATTGGTTTCCATAAGAATTTATGTCATTTAAACATGTTTTGGACTTTTTGTTTTGTCTTTCAGCAATTTTAATTTTCCATTTTTCAATTTTTTTTATCCATCAATGGGGATTCCCTATCCATGATCATGTTTGTTGAGCATTAACTCGTGCTAATCCACTTTTTCTGTCTGTTTCTCTTTTCGTCGAATAGCTCGCTGTGTCTGTGATGTTTGCACCAAACTAATATCACCTCATTGTTCAAATCATGGATATTTTGGAAAGTTCTTCGGACGACGAAGATGAATTATATTTGGAAGGTATTTCGACATATCAATCTGTTTTCATTCAAAATAAGAACAATTAACGCACAATCGGGCTCCACCTTAATTTTGTTAATTTGTATTTTTAACTGGGATCACTGAGCAGAAAATTACCAGGGCGTTTTTTCGGTCGGCTCCATTCTATAACCGAAAATATGTTTAAATTTCCATGTGTGCAGCTGGTCGCCCGATAACTTCCCGATTGTGCTCCCGTTTCAGGACTTCCGTTTTCCGCTGCACGCATACATATGGGTGTAGCCGTCACTGATATAAACAATTCCGCGTTATCTCTTCTTTTACTCTTTTGCCTTTAAAAGTCCAAAAGTCGTTTTATCTATGATTTGCAATTGACTCCGGCATGAATGCCGTCCATCGAGGAGTTGCGACTCATGCGAATTTTGGTTTCAGCGTCGGCTTTGCTGGGCGAAAAGGCCGCCGAGAAGGAAAAGGAAGCCCAATCTGACGTCAAACTGCCCTACAATGGACCTGTGAGTATAAAAATGTAATCTTTAAAAAAAAGCGCTCAATCAGTTTTAAAACTTTAACGTCTTTATCCTAAAATTTACTTCATTTTTCCACAGCCTAATACCGAGATTTGCTGTCAGTTCATTTTTTATTTGTTTTGTTCATCATTCATGTTTTGAAATCTGCGGTCAACCTCGCGAAATTGCGGTTGAAAGAATGATAAAGACCCCTGTCAAGTTACGCCAAACAAAATTTCCATAATATATAGTTAAAAACGTTATCTTTTTTTAATTAAAAAAAAAAAAAAAAAAAAAATAGGATTCGCCTGTAAAATTAGAATAATCCAAAGTAACATTTGCTTTTTCCTAAAAAACATTATCAAAGTTGTTACCATTTTTTTCATCTAAGTTTTTTTAAATAAAAGACTAAAAAATTGTACGAAAGCAATTAATGATAATAATTATTAACTTAAATTATTCCTGAGTTAAAACAATTCATATTTATCCGCAACGAGAAAAATGGACGAATTGCATTTATTGAAGTATTAATTTATTTAGAGCGGTGTTGGTAGAGGGACTGGGAGCGCCGGTCGGTTCACAGTTGTGGGACCTGCGGAGAGCCACTCGCGCTTGATCAGTCAGTCGGTCGCGAGAGCTGTTGGTGGACGCGGCACATTCCATCGCTCCGCGTGTATTTTCTTTCTTGTGTTGTGGTGCGCGCGGAATAAGCCGAGTGCGGTGCAGGTCACTGTGACCGCGAGTGTACCTGTCGCAAGTGCGCCTCACCCTTACCATGTCGCGGTCGGACTCGACTTTCGAAATGACGCCTGCCGAGAAGAGGGTAATTTTTTATTTTTGTAAATTTCGAATGTTTTGAATGCGAGATTAAATCGTCGTTGCTACGTAACAACGCATGACATTAATATAGGCTCATTTTCCATTTACGATTTGTACAAACGAAGAGACTTTCTACTCGGGCGTTTGCAGAAGTTATAAATGATCGGGGTGCAAAGCCGATAGCCTACTTTGTTTCGCGCTCTTTCCCGCGGGCGTGTCATGATAAATCATTATTACTGCTTATCTGTGTAGTTCGCAATTTCTATTCTGTTTACGGAATTCCACAATTAATCGAACAGAAAGTGAAATTTTATTGTTGGATTTTACGTCACGCGGTGTTTCCGCCAGTTATTAGCTCTTTGATTTTTAACTTTTTATTTAAATAAAGTTATATTTTCATTTTAGATATTTGCTTAAATCCACTTTATCTCACTTCAGTAGCTTTTTATTTTAATTATAGTGAATTATTGCTACAAATAAATAAACCAATCGATAAAATTTACAAAAATTTTAAGCCAGATTGATAATTTATAATTATATTAAAAATTTTACATTCTTGATTCGTCGAAAACTTTATAATTTTAATTAATCAGATTTTAATATACAGCAAAAAAGGAAAGGAAATAATTTTCTAGCTTATAAATTGTGACTTTTCACTCGTTTTATTAATTAAAATCATCTTTTAAATAAATTTATAATTGATAAAAGGTTCATTCAAAATTATAATTTATTCCTTACTACTTGCAATTCATTTATTTATTTAAACAAACAAATCATTCTATTATGATTTTTTTTACTATGTCTTACGCAGAAATTGTTGGAAAATTAATCACACACTGCAACGGAAAGAATGCAGTCTCGCAATGTGACTCTAAAACCGTCCCTGGTACCATTTTCGGCGCCCCTGCAGGTGCATTTGTAGTCGCTCACAGCGCCCATCTAACGCGAATACACGATTTTCTAATTTAACTTTGCCTCATCCACTTCTTCTTAGAATTATTTTCTTTCTTGGTTGTGCATTTTCTAATACAGAGAAACATGTCTGGCCGCATAATATACATTTTATTGTGTTTGAGATGCTAAGCTGGATAGAAGAAATATTTATGCAAATTAGGATGCATCCTTTGGACGAGGTAGAGCGTCTGGGTCTGAAAACACGCTCAGGCGCAAGCGCTCGGTTTATCATCTTTCGAAAGAAGTTTCTGACAATTTATCATTTCAATTACAAGTCAAGTTTTTAATTAAAAGACTTTTTAGTTATTACAAAATTTATGTTTACAGCAAATAATACAAAGTATTCTTGTGTGGGGTGTTTGGCTTTGGCACCCCCTAGGAAATTCTACCGTACTAATCTTTTCAACCTTGACGAAACAACGTCGCTGCGGCAGATAATCTCATTGACTTTGCTTAATTATATTATTATTCAATGTTGACGCATCTTGAAGTTCTTCTTCCCATCTCAAGATTGAATTATTTCAACGCAAAATTCTTTTCCAAAATTATTTGTCGTGTACTTTTTTTGTGAATTCGGATTATCCAACAGGCATAATGATTTGAAAATGATAATAGAATAATAATCATAAAAAATTGAACAAACCAAATCTAAATTTTTTTTAAGGGCAGAGAAAAAGGGGTCGCTTGGTCCGAAAGGCCACTAAGATCTCTATTAAACTTCATTTAATTTTGAACCAGCCACTGCCGCCAAGTCAGGTTGACAGAAAAAAATTGTAGGCTTTTTTATTGCTCTCAATTTTTCATATTTTGTTTACTTTAAAAATTTAAAATTAAAGTTTGATATATAAAAAAAAATACTTTTCAGAACAAATATTTTGTGATTGTTTTAGAACAAACTTCAATATAAATATTAAAAATTATTTTCGTTTTGCAGCCTCTCAAATACCCAAAATCGGTCTTCTTCATCGTCACCAATGAATTCTGCGAGAGATTCTGTTTCTATGGGATGCGAAGTGAGTTAAATACAATTTTTAATCTCTTGATCAATTAAACTTCATATTGAATTTGCTCAAAATTTTATAACTGAAATTCCTGTTGATTTCAGCAATCCTGGCACTGTACCTTGTGCAGTACCTGAACTACAACGAAGACAACGCAACCGTAGTTTACCACGCATTTGTGTCTTTCTGTTACTTGACCCCCCTGATCGGAGCCGTCATTGCCGACAGTTGGCTCGGCAGGTTTAAGTAAGTAATTAGATCAGTGGCCCGTTCACTCTCTAATCCGCTCGCTCTCGTGTTCTCTCAGGACCATTCTGATACTGTCATTAGTGTACGCCATCGGAAGTGTCTCGATCTCGCTCTCGGCCATACCCAACTTTATTCCGCCTGAGTGAGTATTAGTGATTTATTTAAATTAATTAATTTTTTTGCAACTCTGTGGTTTTGTTTTTATACTGAAATGTTTTGCAGAGCTTTCACTTACCTCGGCTTGATCCTCATTGGATTCGGCACAGGAGGAATCAAGCCTTGCGTCTCAGCCTTTGGCGGCGATCAATTCGTTGTACCTGAGCAGGAGCGGCAGCTGCAGCAATTCTTCTCCATCTTCTACTTTGCCGTCAACGGAGGCAGTTTGGTTTCCACTTTCCTCACTCCCATTCTGCGTGAGGATGTCAAGTGCTTTGAGAGAGACGACTGTTATTCCCTGGCGTTTGGAGTGCCCGCCATCCTCATGGTCGTCTCCATTAGTACGTCCTGATTTTTCTTTCCTTGCTTGTATTAAAAAAAATTTCTTTCGACAGTCATTTTTGTTGCTGGCAAGCCCATGTACAAAAGCAAAAAGCCGGGTGGAAATGTTATGTTGGAGGTTTGCAAGTGCATTGGCGTAAGTTTATGAAAAACAGTTAAGATTTAAATTAATTTTTACGATTAATTTAGCACGGTATTAAGATGAGGTTCACGAACAAGGACGTCAAGAAAGAACATTGGCTGGAGCACGCAGAGGGAAAATATAGCCGAAAGTTGATTGACGACATCAAACTTGCGCTCAACGTCTTAGTCATGTTTATTCCACTCCTGCTTTTCTGGGCATTGTTTGACCAACAAGTAAAATAAAAATGTTTAATTTCTTGATTAAATTTTGACAATTTTTTTGTAGGGTTCTCGATGGACTTTCCAAGCGACAAGAATGAGTGGTGATATCGGTGCATGGAATATCAAGCCTGACCAGATGCAGGTCATCAACCCCTTGCTGATCATCATTCTCATTCCCGTTTTCGAAGCGACCGTCTACCCCTTGTTCAAAAAGCTCAACATTCTCCAAAAGCCGTTGACCAAGATGACTTTTGGTGGAATGTTGGCTGCGGTGGCCTTCGTACTTTCCGCCTTGGTCGAGTTGTCCATCAAGCCCACTGAAGCTATTGTGCCGACTGCAGGAGAAGCGCAGTTGAGGATTTTCAACACCTTCAACTGCCCGATGGTTATTTCCGCTCAGGACAACGGAGTGACAATCGGCGAATTCGAAATCGAACCTCTGAAGGCATACGAGAATCTATACTTGGCTGCACAAGGAAACAAGCTATTCAATTTGAACATCCGTCGAGGTGCTACTTGTGATCAGAGTTTGGCAGATGTCACAGCACCAGTAGAAATCAGAGAAGGCACTGTAAGTTTTCCTCGTATTTTATTGCTGCAGTAGTCGATAAAACATTTTTAGGCTCAAAGCTACGCTATTCACGATGGAATCAATTCAACGCCCACAATCAAACTCTCTGGTAGGATAATTGACGATCCTGAAAAATCTCGCAATGGCAATGGCAAGATAAAGTGAGTTTTATAGAATTTTAATTATATTTTGTATCTGTTAAATATTTTCCCTTAGAATTATTATCAACTCTGCGAATACTGGAGAAAAACGAGTTGTATTTAATGGAAAAATTGACTACGAGTTCAAAACATTCACTGGGGAAGCAGCAGTTTCTGATTTGCTTGAGATGGATGTCGATGAGTAATTTCTCAACTGAAAATGTTTGTTGTAAATAATATTTTGGTATTCTCTGCAGCTACACTATTTTTTTGAACGGAGAAGAAATCGGAACAACAACTGTGGTTGCCGGAGGTGTCTATACTTATGTCATTAATGAGAATACTAAAGCGGTATAATTTTATTTTTAATATATAATTTTTTTCTAATTAATTTAAAAATGCAGTTTGTCAGAAGATTAGTTACTCCAGAAAATTCAGTAAACATGCTTTGGCTGATTCCTCAGTACTTTGTCATCACTGCTGGAGAAGTGATGTTCTCTATTACTGGTCTTGAATTTGCCTTCACTCAGGTTAGTTCATTTCAAGCTGGTTTAAAAGGTCAATATTTTAAAACTAAACTTATCATAGGCTCCTTTAACCATGAAATCTGTCATTGTTGCTGGTTGGTACTTGAGCGTCGCTTTTGGCAACTTCTTCGTTATTATCATTGCTGAAGTGAAGTTTGTCAGTGACCAGGTAAAATATATTTTATTTATAAAAATGAATTAAATCATGTAAATGAATATCTTTTTTTATAGATGTGGGAATTTGTTCTTTTTGCTGTTCTTATGGCTGTGTCCATGGTCATTTTCTGGTTGATGTCACTTAAATACAAATATGTAACCATCGCCACCGAAGATTCAAATGATGATATGGCAATGGAGAAGAAAAAGAGTGTCGACAACGATGCTTTCGAAGATCACAAAGATTGATCTGATCTGTGATATCACTGATAAGATGTTAAGTTGATTGATACTTATTTCCACTTAAGGAAACATTTAAATTATCAATTAAAAGGAAATGTGCGCATTTGTATTTATTTCATAGGCTCCGAGTGTCCTGCATATTAATTGAATTACTTTTGACTTTGTTGATGGCATTATCTTCCAAATAATATGAATAAACTGTAGCTAAGGTTCTACTCCAAAATAACTGATGAACAAACTACAGCCAAATATTTACAATAAAAACAGCTAATTTTTATATAAGGAAGGATAATTTGAATGTTTTATTCCTTAAAAGAAATCAATATTACATATATTTTCTGGTACATAAAGGTATATTATTTTTTATTGCATCATAAATACACTCATCTATTATTATAGTTGAAATCAAACTTGCCAGTTCTTAAAACAACTTATGCTTTGCAAAATGCATAAAATTTACCAGATATTCATTCAAACAGACTTCATAGATTTTATTTTGTATCATAAAAGGCTGTTTTGGTTACTCGCCAAAACTTGTCATCTCTGTGGCTGGGTGAGGCATAGCATTACCAGGTATGTTAGCAAGGTGCTCAACCTGACAGTCGAACAAATTCTTGGATCTGATCGTGATTCCTTTCTTGTTGGCAACATTCAGCAGGGCATAGTAGACTGTCGTTGCACTGGCTGAATCTCGTAATTTTTGAGGAAGGTTTTGGTAGAGCTCGTGGAAATCCGGCTGAGTATCCACCACCTCCCCATCCTTGTCAACATGAATCTGGTCCCAAAGAAACGCTTCCAGCTTTTTCATGTTGAACCTCTTAGCAGGCTTCCATTCTGGGATCACAGTATCCACCATCTGGACCAGAGAAATATTAGAGTCATTTGGACATTTCTTTCAAGCATTTTATTCTGCTGCAGATTTAGGATATCAGTACCTGCGGAGCCGAAATGAGGTTGCTCTCGTCTAAACCTATGTATGTCATGTAACTGGCACGGCCAGAGGCATTGTTCAAATTCGAGTTCTTGAACAAATTCTCCAAATCCAGATTGAAAGACTCCTCGTCTCCTAAAATAGGTTCTGCATGGTCATCGTCACTGTCGTCGTTCTGATTTACATCCTCCTTTGAGATGACAATTTAATTAAAGTAGAAGATAACAATAAAAACTTTTAAGACCAGTGGGTTGTCGATCGGGAAGTGCTCGTCATTGAAAAAGTCTTCCCTTGGAGCTGCATCATCTTGGACAGTGTTCCCAGAAGCAGGAGCAAAAACTTTCTCCATGCCGAGAATTGCAATTTGAGGAATGAGAATACCCCTATTATATTTAGAGTTATAACAGGAAAACTAATTATGATTGTTTTGTATACTTTGTGATGTCCATGTTTGATTCAAAACTGTCAGGATCTAATTCAGACACTTCAAATGGCAAGGTGATTTTTGAAGTACTCCATCTCAACAGGGTTTCTCTCTGGAGGCCAAGCCTGGTCTTTTTCTTCAACAGGTTTGTGAGGTCAATCTGGACAGTGAAATTAATAGGCTCGTGCTTAGGTTTAACTCGTTTCTTCACTGCAGCTTTGGCCATTTCTACAGAAGCAAATGTGAAAGAAATTCTTAAACATATTCTCTATTTACGATTTGGGAAACTAGGTTTCTTCCACTTCCAGAAGGCTGGGCCTTGCAGCTGGATCATGCGACCGCTGTTGACCATGCCCAGAGGCACAGAGGATAATGTGGCCACAGATCTGTCGGCCACCATTGAAGGAGACCTGTCTACAAATCCTTGGTGACAAGCCGCAACTTCTTCGACGATTGTCCCATCTAAAATTTCAAGAGATATTCCTGCACAGTTCACACTAGACGATGATGAAAAATTACCAAAGAAATTGTTGTCTGGTTCAGGGGGTGGATTATCCTCAAGAGACGACTCATTAAAGTCCCTGAGCGAAATCAATGGACTGCCGCTTAGGCTGGCTGCAGATGAATTAAAAAGCTCATTGGCATTTTCAGACAAGTCAAACTCCAGAGCAAACTTTTCAAGTGTGGGGCATAGCGACATTTCCTCTGAAAACGAACATTATCAGATCAATGAGCACGTTAAATGAACTTAAGCTAACTTGTCAGTTGCTGAAGGTGAATTTTCATCAGAGTATTTGGTTCGGAGCGCTCAAGCTTGCTTGGCAAGAGTTGCTCAGTGGCGCCTTGCTCACTCCTCTCGGTAAAATTAAACGAGTTGATGTCCTCGTTCATTAAATTGCCTAATATGGGAAATAGAGAGTTCGCCCGGTGGATTTTGGTCAGGTCCATCTGCAAATCTTTGTAGTCTTTGGCAAACACTTGATTTCTCCTCAACTGTTAAATTGCGAATTATTACAAAAAGAATAATTTTACCACAGCAAAATATGTACCTTTTTGATTCGTTTTTTCTTTGCTTGCACAACGTCCTCCTCGTTGTCACCAGGAGCCTCATCATCGTCAGGTTCCTCGCCATTTCCACCCTTTTTACTCATGACCATTTGCAAGATGTCGGTTTCTTTTGCCAAGCAATCGACTCGAGCGGCAAAAATTTTTGTCCCGGCGTCCAGAGAACAGCTTGCCAGCTTCAGAAAATAAAATTATTTGGAGAATAAACCAAAGTATTAATGATTTACTTGAAAATTCTTGCTGATGAACGAATCCTTCTGAGCCACTTGTTCTCCGAGAATATCAATCATTTGCAGTCCAAATGCATTTTTAGAACTGATTTTCTGTGGGGGAAAAAATTATTTATCACACTGAAATGAAAATAAAATCAATAAAATTACGTTTTCAGCAGCCAACTTCAAGCAGTGAAAGAAGTCCTGGTTGCAATCTCTCGCAGCACCAGTGGATGCAGTTGGTGGTGCTGGTCGCTTAAATACTGCCCCTCGATCAGCTTTGGTAATACTGCGCCTCGTTTGGAGTTCATCCGTGTGTTCCTATAGAGCATTGAAATGGTTTAATTAAAGGTGTAAAGTGAAACAAGTTGTGGATTGAAAAAAAATATTCATACATCTTCGTTCAGGTCTTCCTGGCTCAAGTCGTCCTCTTGAGCTTCATTCGCAACAAATGAGCGCCTCGTCTTTGACTGTATAAAATTACATGCATTAATTACATACAGAATTAATAAAAAGATAAAATTAATATAGACAAAAAATATTGATGATTTATGTACAAACCCTGGCCATTTTGCTTTCAAAACAAACAAATTGATGCGGTTAAAATCGAATCCTTCGCCTTATTTTCACCTCGATACAAAACGCTTTTTGGTGCCAAACACGATCAATTTCATTTAAAGAAGTCGAACATGTTACTTTCTCGTCAAAACCTGCTAACGCGAAGTTGTTTATAAAATTCTCGTCAACTTCGTCGAACAGACGCAAGTTCAGCACGTTTTTGAATTTGGTAAACTGTTGACATTTATCATAGAAAACCTGATTGGAGATTTTTCCATGACGTCACTGACAACAACAACGTTGATTGGTCGATCTTGCAAGCGGCCATGTTGGATTCGATTTTCCCTCCCATAATCAAAAATACCGCCAAATCTCCAGCTGTAACTTGTTTGTGCTTATTTCAACGAAGCAGGGAATTTTAGACCTTATCGTTTGAGTCGTTGCTCGCTAAAAACTTCTTTTTCGTATGCTGTGTTCATTGTGTTAGCCGGGAATCGACTATCATTCAAGCAATATTTTGACAAAACCGAACGAAACTTTGTCTACACAACGAGATTGTCTGCAAATTAACTAAAGGTTTCTTCGGAAAACGAGAAAAATAAGCAGAGAAGATCCCTTTCTTCACTGTAACTCATAGTTTTAGGTATTTATGCATTTAAAATTTAGTTTATCCATTATCAATGATTCACAATGGATCAAAATTGGATCAAACTTTTAACTTCATCATTCAGAATAAGTCCTAATATATATATCAATAATGTCCATATTTTTTCGTCCTTTTTATTAAAACTATTTAATTTCAGGTGCGGATAGAACATGATTTCCGAGGAAAATTACTTGAGTGACATTACTACTTTCTTGGAGAAGAAGCCGAACAGTGGTGACGATGGAAACGAGTCTGATTCTTCGTTGATCCTCGAATTTCAGCCCATAAAACAAATAAAGAAGGAAGATCTTCTCAAGCAGCTAGTCAGTCCAAAGCAGAAGAAATTGGTCCCTGCCAAAAATGATGTTGTCACACCATCGAAGATAACTTCAATTCTGGACGAGGAGGATGATGATGACTTCTGCCGGCCTCTCTCGGACTTTTCCGAGCCTGATTTGATCCAAGAGGCTGATGATGATATTGATGATAAAGACATTCCAACAGTTGACCTCTTGAAGTTAGAGTCCCCTGAAAAATCACTCCTCTCTGACCATGAGGAATGTCAATTCAAACTGTACTACTCAACAAGCCCTGAAGTTTCGCCTCAGCAGCCAAAGGCAAAGAACATTTTGCAAGACATTAAGAATGTTGCACTGGTTAGAAGTCCGGTCACTGTCAAGCCCAAGCGGAAAAGGATGAGAAAGTTGGAAAGTATTTGCAAAGAAAATCAGCACAAAGAAGGCAAAAAATCTCCCAAGAAGAAGCAGTTGAAAAAGGTGGTAGATGAGAACGAAGACAATATTCCACTGCAGCTTTTGAAGAGAAAGAAGACTATCGGTGATGAAAGTGAGGAGGACATTCCTCTTGCGACATTGAAGGCCAAAACCAATACTGGAGGAGACATCAGCAGTGAGGAGGACATTCCTCTTGCGACATTGAAGACCAAAACCAATACTGGAGGAGACATCAGCAGTGAGGAGGACATTCCTCTTGCAAATATCAAAAAGAGCTCAAAAATTTCTCTAGACCTGCCAGAGAAACTCAAAGGTGAGCAGAAAGATTGTGTTGATGGCGCTGATGGCAAAAGGAAAGGAAACAGAAGGGACTCTGGAAGTGACAGCAGCGACAAAGAACAAAGTGGTCATGAATCGGATGAACCTGCAGGCAGTGAGAAGAAAAGTGGTTCCAGCAGTGAAGGAGACGATGAGGATGACAAAAAGGACAAGAGGCGCAAGCAACCAGAAGATACTAGTGATGAGGAAAGCTCTGAGGAAGAAGAGGACAAAAGGAAGGAAAAGAAGCAATCTGCCAAGAAGAAAAAGATTTCCTCCGACATATCGTCGTCTGACTCTGAACTGGAAACGAAACCTCCCAGAGCAAAGAAGCGCCAAAGCCAGCCTCCGGCGGCAACCAAAATGCTCGAGTCTGATTCAAGTGATGATGAAGAGCTGCTCCCTCAGAGCAGGAAAAAGTCCAAGGTTGCCCAGAAAAGTCGTCATTCACTTTCCGACTCCGATGATGATGACGACGACGACAAGCCTTTAAAAAATCTCCAGAAAGAAAAAAGCCAAAGCCGCTCTCCCGACAAGTTGACCAAAAGAGGCTTGAATGATTCTGAGGAAAGTGATGCAGAAGTATTGAAATCTAATCCAGCGCCGAAGAAGGCTAGAAAGCAAACCAGCTCCTCGGGATCAGAAAGTAAACCGGCAGAAAAGAAAAAGCCAAATACAAGTGCAGCTGGAAAGAGAAAACCCTCTCCCAAAATCAGCCCTGCAAAGAAAAGCAAAACTCCTGAGGTAGGGAAGTTGCACAGTGATAGTGATACTGATGAAAATAAAAGTTGTGACTCTGATGATGAAAAGCCCTTGTCTGCGGTGAAGAAAAATTTGTCGAGCAGCTCAGAAAAGATTGCAGATAGAGATAGCAGCTCAGAGGACGAGAAACCTTTAAAGAAGCTAAAGATTCCCAAGAAATCTGTCAAACCAGAAAAAAGCTCATCAGATTCTGAAGATGACAAACCCCTGAAGCCTAAGATAAAAAACAAGGCCGGCAAAAATGCATCTGATTCGGAGGACGAGAAGCCCCTGAAGCCAAGAACAAAATCAGAGAAACAGTCAAGTAGTGATTCTTCATCTGATTCAGAAGAAGATAAACCACTAAGAGAAGTATCAAAAGGAAAGGGCAAAGCTGCTGAAAGTAAAAAGGTAATAAATATATACTTTGATTTATTTTTTTCAACCATATAAATTGTTGCATATTTACAGCCTTCAAGGTACTCCAAGAAGATCGACAAACTCAAGAAATATTTAAAAGAGGCTGGCTTCAATTTTGTACACTACAGCAAGATTTTGCAGCAATGCAATGGAAATGAGAGAAAATTTGCTGATGAGCTTTTGAAAATGTTACATGACAAAGGACTGAAAGGCAAAATTTAAATTAATTTCCAACTACAAATAATAATAGCATTAATGATTTATAGGAAACCCAACTCTGAAAAAATGCCAGAAACTAAAAAAGAAACTGGAAATCAAGAAAGATGTTGAGGCCCTTGATCTAGACAATATTATTGATGACGGTATATTTTTAAAACAGTTAACAAAGTGAATAACTTAATGTTAATTTTTATCCAGGCAAAACGTCACGTAGCTCAAGGTCCAAAGCTCCTCCTGCCACCAAGCCCAAAGTGGAACCAGTCAAGCGTAAGGCAGAGTCGTCAGGATCCGAGGATGAAAAGGTCAAGAAGAAGTTCTCTCGTCTGAAAGCCCTTGCTGATAGTGACTCTTCCGACTAAGCGTAAGAAGATTTTTGATTGAATCCTTTGAGAATCTATTCAATGACAAATTTGCTTTTTTTACATAAAAATATATAATTTTCAATATCTAAGTACTTCTTTTGTTGGTTATTTTATATGCAACAGTAGATAACAAAATGTTCATACTAGAGCAAGCATGTTAAGCGCTCATAACGGCAATTTTTGGAATTGGCAAGCGTGAGCGTAGTGATTGCCAAGTGCAGTGTTCGAATCAATAAAAATTTGCGAATTTCATCATGAATTTTAATCAAAAACTTAATAACTGTTTCTAAATTTGATGATTTAAGTTTTCAATTGAAGATGCGGTAATTTTTATTAATTACACGTTTTTTTTAGAGAAAATTTGCTTTTTTTACTTTGGCTAGCTCTAAAAATTTTGCATTGCAAGAATAATATTATTACCTCGGTAAAATGCAGGAATTAAAAAATTCGGACCGCTGACGGCGTTGACGCTTTTGCGTTTAACAAGATTCGTGGTTATTTTTTTTTCTTTAATATTTTTTAATTTGAGACAAAAATAACTTGGGACCTGATATTTTAATAACAATTAAATAAAATCTTTGTTACGAAAATAAATTATATTATTATCAGTGATATTAAACAAATTAAAAATATATATTACTTTTAAATTTATTTTGCTTTATAATCTTTCGCTCTCTAAAATTACTTTTTCCTGCTTCGCTTCTTCCGCATCTTCATCTGATGCTATAGTGACATATTTGTACAGCAAAGCTTGCAAGAATAATATAATCATAGCAATGAACTCGAGGCCTGCAAATAACAAGTATTCCCAAATCTGTATAAAAAAGCAACAATGAGATTATGTTAAAACATTATAAAATAATTTAAATTACTTGTTCGTTAAAAATTTTGGCCTCTGCCACGAAGATCACCACCATGTTACCAACAGCCACAGCTATGTACCACCCAGCAACCAAAACTGATTTCATACTCAGTGGTGCCTGAAAATTTATTGTTATTTAAAACTCGTTTTTATCAATTTTATAAAATATCACTTGTGTAAATGCAAATTCTAGGCCCGTCACTGAAAACAAAATTTCTCCAGCTGTCATTACAAAATACTGAGGTATCTGCCACAGAATGTTAAGCGAGCTCTCAGGTGTGATGGTCATTTGAAAAACCTGCAAAATATTTTATTTAAATTTCTTATTCCTCTTGCGCTTTTTCACACCTCATTGTTCATTTCGTTGATAACAAAAGTGTAAACGCCACCAACTTTAATCGCGTATTTCGAGTCAATAATTTGCCCATTCAGCAAAATCTCGTAACTGAAACAGCAAAATTTTATATTTCTAGGAACAATTAACATATTTTAGTGATTTTACTTGTCCGGTTCAAACTCAAATATGTCCGAAAATGCCGCCTCGCCAGTAACAGTAAAAGTATGCGCAGTTTTCCCTTTGAATTCCACCACATTATCTCCATCATCTTTCGCATTAACTAAAACTCTGGAAAAGAAAACCTAGGTCAAATATTTTCTCCAAAATTAATTATTTTTAACCAGCCCTACTTGACTTTGCCATTTCCATTTTGAGACTTTTGTGGTGAGTCAATAGATGTTTCGGATATTTTTATAATTGGAGAAGACCCTACACCATCGTGTAGAGCGTAACTTTGGGCCTGTTAGTAAAAGATATCACGGGGGTTTAGTTTTTGTCTATAAAAGTCAAATAATTCTCACAGTCCATTCGATGACTCCGACGTCAAGCTCCGTTTCCAACAAGCGAGGGTCGCAGCGCTCTCCTGGCTTGGCCTTTATTTTAAATGTTTTGCTGTTTTGAGCCGCGATGTGCAAATTCTCCCAGGCTTGTAGAGGTTCGATTTCAAATGCGTCAATTTCAACATCGCCCGTAGCTGATATTATAATAGGACAGTTCAAAGTGTTGAACACCCTGAGCTGCGCCTCTCCCCCCATGGGAATGATGGCCTCTGTCGGTTTGATGAAGAGCTCTACGAGGGCTGAAAGGACGAAGGACAGGCCAGCTAAAACTCCACCAACACCCATTTTCGTCAGTGGTTTTTGCAAAATATTGATCTTTTTGAAGAGAGGGTAGATGACGGCTTCAAACACGGGAATCATGATCACAATCAAAAGGGGGTTGACGACTTGCATTTGGTCAGGTTTGATGGTCCACCCTCCCATGTCTCCTGTCATTCGAGTGGCCTGAAACGTCCACCTGGACCCCTGAATTTTTGTTCCGATTAATGCCGAAAAGTATCAAAATTTTGCATACTTGTTGGTCGTACAAAGCCCAGAAAATTGGAACTGTCAAGAACATTGTCAAAACGTTCAGCGTTATCTTTACATCAGCAATTAACTTCTTGTCATATTTGTCTTCAGCGTGGTCCAGCCAGTGCTCTCTTTTCTCTCCCTTGCGGTTTTTCACCCTCATCACTATGCCCCGCTGTCGATTTAATGATTAATTTCAATATAATGAAATTAAAATTAAAAAAAAAAACTTGTTTTACCCCAATGCATTGACACACCCTGAGCACAATATTTCCTTCAGGCTTCTTGCTTTTGTACAATGGCTTGCCAGCCACGAAGATTACTGGGTAAAATTTTATTAAAGAAATTTATATAATAAGTTGAATATTAATTTACCAATCGACAGAACCATAAGTATGGCAGGGACTCCGAAAGCAAGTGAATAGCACCCGTTTTGTCCAAAACATTTTACATCTTCTCGAAGGATGGGTGTGATGAAAGTGGACACGAGACTGCCTCCATTGATCGATAGGTAGAAGACGGAGAAATACTTCTGCAATTGAGCCTCCTGAGCTGGCACAATGAACTGGTCGCCACCAAATGCCGAGACGCATGGCTTGATTCCTCCTGTACCAAGTCCGATCAACACTAAGCCAACGAAAGTAAAAGCTCTGCAAAGTTTCTTTTTTGATTTTTAAATATAAAATTAAGTATCAATTATACTCAGGAGGAATGAAATCAGGTATGGCTGACAAAGCGATGGAGATGCTGCCGATTGCATAGACAATGGATAAAATCAATATCGTCCTGTCAAATTTAAATAGTTGATTTTGCAATTATTAATAAAATTATTTTGTCAAACTTGAATCTTCCAAGCCAGCTGTCTGCAATGATTGCTCCTATAATAGGAGTGAAGTAGCAGAATGCTGCAAAAGCGTGGTACACAACAGTAGCCGTGTCCTCCGAGTACATCAACCATTGCACCAAGTACAGAGAAAGAATTGCTGATAATTTTTCATGTCAAATGATATATTGATAAATTTAATTTTTACTTCTCATGCCGTAGTAACAAAATCGCTCGCAAAACTCATTTGAAATGATGAAGAACACAGCCTTTGGATACTTCAAAGTCTAACAAAAATTTTACATAAGCACAGCAAGTTTCAAAATTATACTTTAAATTTTTACCGGACCCTGCATTGCCTCAAGATGTGGCTCTAAAATTATTTATTTTTTTACAGCAACAATAAAATGAAAAATAATTATACCATCTGCAGATTCTTTCCCTAGTTCCTTCTTCTTCCCCATGTTTAAAATATTTTCAGATTCAAGTCTTTTTCAGAGCTGAAGGTGCTTGAGAACAACGTTGACTGCGTACGTGAAAAGAATAATGCTCGGCTATATCTACCTTCAGTTAAGCTCTTAAGGAGACCTTGATTGGGACTTTTTTTACCAGAATCTTACATTATCTTATATATTATCAAAGTTTTAAAGCTTAATCCATTTATTACATGTCTGTCTACTGTTGTTCTTTGTTTCAGTCCTTGAGAGTTTATTATTTATTATCCACGTTATAAAAGGAGAGCTTGATGCAAATTAATATCAATTTGTATATTTCGAAGAATAATTTTTCTAGAAACTCAAAGGAAAAAATATAAAATTATAGTAAGATCAGATTAACATGTAGAGGTTTCGTAGATGTAAAACTTAAGGTTTCCGTTGTTGACTTTTAATTTATTTGACATACCTTTGTTAATGATAGAATTATTAAGCTTAGTTTTCAAGGAAAGAAACAAATTCAGTAAGTTTGTCTAGTTGGTCTTCGCTGGTCAGAGGTGGCCCTGGAGCTGGAGCCGGCTTCTTGGGCAACACCATGTTTCCTTCCACGATCTGCCAGCCAGGTTGAGAAGCAGCAGAGGCCACAGCTTGGGCAGGCGTCTCGCCCAAAAGTCTGGCCAGTGACTCGATTGTGATGGAAGAGTAAGCAGAACCAATCAACTCCAGCGCACGGCTTCGGACTTGACCTTTAAAATAATCAAGTTCCATTATTATTTTCGCAAAAAAGGGCAGTCAAAACATTACCTTTCAACGCATCCATGATAGGAGCGACGGGCTCTGTCCAGCTGTCTGTCTGGGCTAAAGCCAAATGCATCAAGTAGAAGTCCCTTTGCCACATTCTCTGGCCTATTCTCCACACAGCATTCAATTCTTCGTCTGCAAGTTTGACTGCCTCGGGAATCCTTTTCCACAACATTTTGGCATTGCATCTGTTTCAGAAGAACAATGAATGTCTTTTTCCAAACAATAATAAAAAAAACTTACAAGTCATTGTGGTAAAGATATATGGCCAGAAGTTGTGTGTATTTCTGAGCCTGCAGTGGAGTTCCAATTGCAGCCTGCAATTATAATTTAAATGCCATGTTAGTAACTTATTACGTAAATTAATGGGTTTTAATGTATGTATGTGTACATATCATATGTTCATTAAATAATTACATCGGACGTTTAAATACCTAAAATAAGATAATAATTAGAATAATTAGCCATAAACATACCTCCAACTCTTCTCTTTCAAGATCCGCTTCAAGCACCTTCATATCTTCTACGGTCATTTTCCTTTTAAGTGGAGGCTTATTCAATACTTAAATATAACCTTGGCGTTATGCTAAACTTTAACCTTCTAATTAACGCTTAAATTTGCTCAAATGTTTTGCAAAAACTGTTTGTTTTAGCTTTCTTTGGTCCGAAAAGCGCAGCAAAACCAAAGCAAAACATTCGAGCAAATGTGATGTAAACAAAAATAATAATCTGTTTGCGTGGTGGGGACTGTGGGGAGCCAATCATTGCCCGTTCTCGCGTTCTCTCTCCCTACTCACTTTTCATTTGAAATGTTAGCCCGCGAAAAGCGCGAGATATGCCAGCAGCGCATGCTGTAACACAAATGCGCGTTTATTTAAGAAAAAATATTATTACATAGATAGTAAAACTTGAAAAATTTCCTCTTGCGTTCTTAAAATTTTTACTGTTAATGCTTATGATTTTTTTGAAAATTTTATATTGACATACTTAGGTAAAAAAAAATATTGTAAGTTTGGGAGAAATAATTCATATTATTAATATCAATTTTTCTCAATTTAATTATGCAAAATTTTGCGTTTTAACTAACTTCAATAATAGTGTTTGTTATAATTTTATGTTTTATATGATTTCCGACTGTAAGATTGAAGATAATGGATGATGGATTTTTAGATGATGGACAAAAAACTTTCAGTGATCAATTTTTATTACTTAATAGTAAATCCAGGTTAATAAAATTACACACGCTCGAATCCATCCTTAAGTGTCAAGAATATAATTATAAAAACTCGATCCATAATTTTACCCTCCCGGTTTTAAACATGTTAAAATATAAAATAATTTTTTTCATTTTGAACCAAAAGTTTGTGACGAAAAAAACTTCCTTGATTTACTTCTAAACAGATGCATAGACGAAAACGTATAATAATATTTTATATTACTTTGTTATCGGTGAAAATAGTATTATTTTGACAAGATAATTCAATATAATATCTTGGATATCTTTCAGGTATTTTATTGAATACATTTGATCTGAACTGCCTATTTTGATTCTTAAATTCAAAAAGGGGAAAGCATACAATACTTTATGCTGAACACACGTTACATCCTTGTTAAGAATAAAAGGGCAGTTTTACACAATTCATTTTTACTACACCATTTGAACAACTAAATTATTTAATAAACAAGAAATGTAAGAAGTCCTGAACAAAAACGCAAGAACAAAATGAAAAGTGTCAAAATATCAATTTAAAAACATTTTAGCATCCTTAATATATAAAACACCAACTAACAATAGCTTTATTTTATGTTAGCTGCCAGCAGCGCGTCTAAAACAATAAAATTAAGAACAAATGAATTCATATTTTTGTGACTTCAATAAGGCAATGACTGATTTTTTTTTACCAATATTGTTTGGTAATGTAAGTAAACCCTGTAAAGGAGGCATCATAGTAGTGGAGTTCAAGAGCTCAGGAAACTAAAATGATTCCAGGTACATTTCGGGTTGACGAGAGCAATCAAATTTTCTCAGGTTTAAAAAAAAATTGCAATAAAAATTTGTCTTCGCTGCAGTGGCGAGTATCTTGATTCAAGATACAAGGGGCAATCCCTTGACTTGAGAGCCTTGTGAGTTGCCTATGGGCCATTTCAAGCCCATATTTTTTGTCGTCCAAAATTAAAATTACGCCTCCTAGCTGCAGACATTAAATTTGTAAATGGGGGATTTGTCAACTTTGTTCACAATGGAATAAAGTCAATATGCACCTTAATAAAATAGAGTGGCATAAGTTGATACTTCCAGAGAAAGGGAAAATCTAAACATAAAAATTAATGAGGTAACATGGGATACAGCTACAAGACCTAGTCTCCCAAACACTCTGAAAAAAATTACAATCACAAATCAAAAACAAAAATAGAGCAATCTATCACAATGCTTGGCAACAATTTGACAATTTCAATAAATAAGTTTGGCAACTTCTCCATCTAATTTGACACAACCAACTGGAGTATCATCTTGTTGAGTGTTCGAGACTTTTAAAATACGCAATCACAAAACCTATCGCATCAATCGGTTCGAGAAAAATCTTCAAAAATCTACAGGTCGTCATGCTTAAGTGTGATGCCAGACATGGAGTCACGAGGCTTGTCAGGGTACAAGTTGTCGAGGATGGCGAAGTAGTGAACACTGGCGGCAAAAGCCACAAAGAGGTGCCAGATTGCGTGAGCAAAGGGGATCCTGCCATCCATCTTGAAAAAGATCACTCCGGCTAGGTAACATACTCCTCCGAGCTGTAACTCGTACAGCCCAGGAATGTCCTAACGAAGATTAAATTAAAATTTATACCCGTCACTCCAGGTAGGGTATTACTTACAATGGAAACTATGGCAAGAGCAGGTGCAACTCCGATAAATAAGTAAAAGGTAGTTTCGAGCCACTTGAATCGTTCGTGGAATGCTTGTTGGTAAAGTATGCCCATTGAAGCAAGGATCCAAATGAGCCACCATAGCTCAGCTGCCCAGCCGTCTGCAGGTAGTGGAGTTAACGTCAGCCATGGGAAGTAAGACGAGGCTATGAAGATGTAGATCATGGCTCTGTCGCTTCTATGCAGAACATCTTTGATTGGTCTAAAAAATAGTGAGAAAACGGTATTTTATTTCAATAATAAAGAGGGAAAACAGAAAATTAAATTAGATCAATGAAAATATGCTTAAAATTTTTTTTTGCACTATTTTCCTATTGGAGTTAAATCAATAAATATAAAAAAAAACTTTGGACCTTGGACTCTGATTTATTTTTAATCATCAAGACGAAATAATTTTTTATCATCAGCGAGCAATACAGCTTGAGACACCGATTGCATCATCAGATATTCATTACCTTAAACAGGATAAAATACTTTTTTCAACAATACAGTTGAAGTGCAGGTGAATCAAATTTAATAAAGCAAAAGGTATGCAGTTGGAATATTGCACTTGGGGCCAAGAATATCAACGTAAAGGGGTCCCTGTGCCAAATTCTAATTTAGCTATTTTTAATACACTCACGCGTGGCCATGGCAAAAAAAGACGCAATGAAAAATAGTTGAGACAGTGAAGAGCAAGATGAGAGATCCACTGTATATAAGTCCAGACCAAAATTGCTGCCAATTCGAAGATCGTTGCACCAACGAGACAGCACCCCAGATACTTGGAGGGATCCATAACTAAAAATAAAAAACAATAATAATACATTAGAATCATGCCAGGTTTTTAAAATTTAAAAATAATATATTTAATTTAAAAACTAATTTAACTAATTTTTTTTTTACCCCATGAGTTATAACATTAGCTATGTGTTCCACAGTGGTAGGTGTGTAAGGTCGATTTGGAGGCGCTCGTTCGTTCATCCAGTGGCACCTAAAAATTTTTAATATGGTCCATTTTTTAGATTTTACAGTTCAGTATGAAATTTAAATGTACTTACTGCTTAATAACATCAAAAATCTGCCTCCAGTTGAACGAGGTGAGAGAGCTCATGATTAAGCTTGCCATTTTTCTCAGCTCGGCCAGTGACAATCGTGTTATTGATACGTTGCTCAATTGCTATTATCACTGGTCACCGACACTTCTACAGCTTCATTGGGGTCACAGGCTGCCGCTTCACACCACCAGATATCCTACGGTTGAATCACATTGAGCTTGGAGCGCCTCCTGCAAAATTATAAAGTGCACGGTTTTTACTCAAGTATGTACGTAGGCGTCGGACTAATAATTTGGGAAGATGTTTATCGTCGCAGGTGCACCTGCACCGAGAGGTCTGCATCTTTTCTCTTTGGACACTCACCAGAACGCATCTTCAAAAATAAATTTCACTTTTCATAACGAGGAGAGGCGACGAAAAGATGCTCGCCTCGCCCTTGTTTCTTTCTCTTCAGGCGGAGCAAGGCTCCCACAACAGCTGGATACCCCTTCCCTTTCACCATCTCCCATTGGTTCGTTGAATGGCCTGCGGCTGTCACGATTGGTTCACGAATGAGGAAGTAAAAATATGATTGCATGCAAAAATATGATTATGCTGCACCTTTCAATATTTTTCTCAAATTAAATTAATATTTGAACTATTATTTTATCGTATTGGAAAAAAACCGAGGTAAATAATTGATGCATATTTTTCAAGATGCTAAACATTTATTTAAATTTTTCACATTCATAATTTTTTTCATAGTCAATAATATCAAAACATGTAAGACTCATTCAGATTATCAATTTGATGCGTGACCAGGGGAGTTCAATAAAAAACGTGATGACTGGTGTATTGCTGGTGATCCCACAACAGTCAAAGGAGCAAGGGCGTGCGAGCGAGCGCAGACTATGCGAAACACACACACATACACATAAATGCCTTTATATACTTTTCTTAATAGACAGTCTGATTTCAGTTCAGAGAACAGTGAGTATAATAATTGCTGCTGCACGCCCTTTGGGACAGAAATAATTATTATCAGGCACCATTAATTTCACGAGTTACTCTGCTAACAATATATGCATTCTGGCGTAGTGACCGATTCAATGATTGATAAACGTCGTATAAATACCACAGTGCAGCACCTCTAAATATTTCTAAAGATATCCACAGTGAATTAAGTTGTTTTCAGTTTATATAGTTTAATTGTTTTGTCACGGGGTTTAAAAGAGAGTAGAGAGGTGTAGAAATTGCGATACAAACTGGCTCTGTTCAAAAAGGCCCCTTTTTGCATCAAGATCACGATGACAGCTCCAAGGCGCCGCAGTACAAAAGAACATAAAATGAGATTCACTCATGCTGGAGTAGAGAGTTGGTGGATCCACAGATCCCCAAGTGAGTGTTTTTGTTCACATCCGCGAGCCTTTCTGCTGCAGAACCTAAAGCATTCAAAATTAATGTGAGAGAACAGAAGGATGCATTTGGGCCAAGGTAGATGTTACTTCAAAGGGGAACATCGGTAGAGCAGATCAAAAGTCACACTAAACTTACCTTTGCTCTGTCTGTTGGTTCGGTCTCCATGCTGTTCAGTGTCGCACCATATTCTCGGGAAACGACACAAAGGAATTCAGCATGCTCGTCATGGCCGTATGTGTATTGAGACCCGATGTTAATGAGCTGCAACATGAGTAGAGGTTTGTTTAATAAAAAATTAAAAAGTAGTATTAAAAAAATTGCATCTAACAAAAAATATGAAATATATATTTAGATCTCTAAATCAAATCATAAATCATACATCAATTTTATTTTTGAGCCCACAATCATTGATAAAGAACTAAAATTTAAACTCATTTTATACAAGAACATAATTCTTCAAACCTGCTCGAATTTCCAGCCGTCGGAGAGAGTGGATACCATTTGTGTTAGCTCATCTTCATGGCATTGTAGAACCCGGAAAACATGTTTCCTAGCCTCCCTCTGTGGTCGAGAGTCTCTTTGGCAAATCCTCTCTTTTGTCAGCCTTATCAGCTCAGTGATGTTGTAAAATTCTGCTTCCTCCAAAACTCCTGATTTTAAAAGTGTCAATTTAAATCGACTTGAAATAAATCATTTGAAGAAAAAACTTACCTTCTTCGGCCAAACCATTATTAATGACCAGCTTGCCGTGGCGCAGGTAGTTGAGAACAGGACTGAAATAGGTCGGGTCTCTGTCAATGAGATATGCACCAGTTTCATCCTGTAAAAACCACCACAAGGGAATTATTAAAAGTTATCTATTGCCTGAGAAGAAGCGAGATGGCATACTCTGTCAGAAATGAGCTCCGAGTCTTCCTGGCAAAGCCGGAATAAAAATGAATTGGGATCTCGACAAAGTGTGGTCTTGGTTGTGAGGAAATATGTGCCGCCCACGTTCAGTCGCACCCACTGATTTGTGGTCCTAAGGTTGCACGAGTTCATCGTCTCGTCGCATTCGATTTTTGCATCACCTGCAGAACTTGCCATTCTTAAGGTGAAATGTGTGAATTATTTTCCTCAGTAAACAAAACAATGAATCACAAAACAGCCGCCATTACTGTGACGTCTGTGGTTCACATTCACAATCATTCGTCTTGTTTTACCACCAAAACAAAATGATTACATATTGTTTATTTGGTAATTCTAATATTTTACTTACAATGCAATTATATAAAAAATTTAAATTTTAATTAGCATTATTTATCTAAAAAGAGCTTTTATCCCATACTATTTACACTGAATTTGGCGCCAAATATAAAAAGTTAAAATTAGTTTGGTTTCCTATTGTGATTCGTGCGCCATTATTTCCCAAATTTTTATTTTTAGAAAGGGAGGTGTGGTCCGCACTGGTCACTGCGTCGTCAAATTTGCCTTCAGCAACAATTTTCTCGATAGAATCAAACATAGAATTAATGTTGATTCGCGCTTGAGTGATGCCAGTCAAGATTGACGTCGTTCCGCCGTTGCCTGCAAATTCTCGGCAACCGGGAATCGCCGGTTCGCTGCTTTACAATGGCTCCAAATTCCAGGGCCACCAGAAGTCCAAGGGCAACAGCTACGAGGTCGAGGTTGTCCTTCAGGTACATCATTAGTTCAATTTCACCTACATGCTAATTGCATACGGTGCAATTTTTTCATGAACAGCACGTTGACGAGGAAAACTCCTACTTATGCGGTTATCTCAAGATCAAGGGCCTCACGGAAGAATTCCCAACAATGACCACCTTTTTCGACGGGGAAATCATCAGCAGGAAGTACCCATTTCTGACCAGAAAATGGGATGCTGATGAAGATGTCGATAAAAAGCACTGGGTATGTTATGCACATAATCCAGTCCAAAATTCTTAATAATCGCAAACATACAAATTGCAAGGAGTTAAGAATAATATTTTATTTTTTGTTTCATCAGATTTTTTGTTAAAATCGCTTTTTAAGATTAATTCAACGTGAATTACATATACACTTTTCCTCACAAGTCTTTCATGTTTTACTGATTAATGAATTTTTTTTTACAGAGTAAATTTTCTTCCTTCCTGCAATATGCCAAGACTTTCAACTCGGATAATTTTGATTATGAAGGCCTGAAAGATACTGATTATGTTTTTATGCGTTGGAAAGAGCACTTCCTTGTCCCTGACCACACCATTAAGGATATCAATGGAGCCTCGTTTGCTGGCTTTTACTATATTTGCTTCCAAAAATCGACAGCAACCATCGAGGGCTACTATTATCACCGAAGTTCGGAATGGTAAGATTCTCTACTAATGCAAATCTTGTAAAGTGTACACTACTGCATTTGTGGAAAACGTTGCAAAACATCTAAGCATGCATTTACGTCAAAGGGAATTTTGCAATTTCTAGTTGCAAAATAGCTCTCTTTGGTTTCAAAGCAAAGCATTTGTGACTTGGTTCTTTGCCAGAACAGGATTAGCTGTAAAGCTGCGTATAAAATTCTGTAGAAGTAACTGATTTTTTTGTTTTGTTTCTATGAGCCAAAAAGTTGACAATTTCCATTACTCTTTTTCAGGTTCCAGTCCTTGACCCTAAAGCATGTTCCCGAGCACAGCATTCAAATTTATGAGTTCAGGTGAAGATAAAGCGGGGGGCGGGTCTGCTGCCCGCACTGGCCCTCGTGTCACAGCAGAAAGTCTGGTCACCTTCTCTGATTGCAACAAAACAAGAAATTTAAATACCATAATAACATGATTGGAGCTGTGCTTTATTTTTTCATTTTCAAATGTTGATCAACACAACGAGAGTTATGAAAATTGTTCTTTTATTTGCAAAACCTTTATACATCTTGATTGATTGTAAAGTCTTTTTTTATCAAAACATCATTATTGTTATGTGTAGACTTATACAGTTTACACAGAAAATTATGTTTTATCTTTTTGTTAGTTTGACATTTTTCTGTTCAGCGCAGTTGGTTTGTGCTGCCGGTTGTGTTAATGACGTTATCTTGAGTACTTGTAATTAAAATATTTTTGTAAGGTTTCAAAAATATCAATGCAACATGAGATTAAAAATCAGCATGTTTGGTTAATGATTGGCCTACAAATATGAAAAGAATTGAGGTAATACCAGCAACCTCCTTGCTTTTAAATGGCCAAATATTATATTGTACCGCCAAATGATATGATATGCGATCATTACTGGACACAATTGGACTGAGTGTTTTGGTGTTGGCATTTTAAAGGTTAATGCTTATTTATGCTCACTGGTTTAGACTCATAATTTTTGTATGCTTTTAAGCAAATAATATGCCATTATAGCCTAATAATAATTGATCGATTGGCAAGTTGCTGCAAAATATTACCGCAGGTAACATAATTATGTTTCTTTACTTTGGATTAATTGAAGATATTTTTATCCCGATGTCAAGTTAGAACATGGCGCGTAGTAAATTGCGTTAAATAATGTATATGGCATATAAAATTAACTGTTTTGTAAACTCATTGTACTGGAATAAAATGATAAAGAAATAGTTAATTAAGATGCTGAATTCTTGCGATTGCTCCTAAGTTTCCACCAGGAAAGCTGCAATTGTCCCTGGTCCATTGTGGACATATTTCAAATTTTGACTTTCTTGCCTTACCTTATAAATTTTTTCATCTGTATCAGATCTGAACACCTGCTGTCTGATGCAAGATAATTTTATTTTTGCTCGAAACTATTTGTATCTGTAAATTACGACCTGTTTGAAATAAAAGGAACTCATTACAGCAAGATTGACTAAAGCTGATTCTGAAATCAACTATTATTTAATGTCAAACTATGGTACGTAGGGTAAATGATTTTACTTCGATTTATTTCCTTAAAAACAAATATTTATTCTCCAATTTTTTTTATTGGAATATACAGTCAAAATATCCAGCTATACATTATTATTTTGAATTAACACTTACAAAATCACCTACTCTACACAAAGAACGGAGGGACAACACATTTAAAAGCTTCAGTGCGTGAGCCCACATACATGATCAAAATGAATATCCTACTGGAATTGCCATATATATGTCAAAGGGAATCTGTTGAAAGGTATTTCTTCAAGAGTATTTTTTTTACCAATCTCGGAAAGAAAGCAATGCAAAGAATAATGATAACCTAAAAGAGGTTAGTGCATTATATTGAATCCATCACAATGTCCATTACGAACACCAGATCTTTCGTCACGGGCCAACATAACTGACAATTTATAAGTGGATTGGGAAAAAAAACTGGAAAATTATTTGTGCAAAGAACAAAAAAGGTGAATAACAGCTCGTGGCCCGTAGATTAGTTAATAATAATGAAAGTCACAGATTGCACCACAAGAGTATTGATTTTGATTACTTGGGTTCAAAAACTTGGTCGAGGCTGTGAGTAGGTGTCCTCTACTGGAAGCATGATCAGTTCTCTGTTATCACTAAGGTTTGACTTATCAGGAGATCGAGCAGGAGTTCCTGCCGACGCAGCTCGAACGTGATGCGTCTGTTGGAACTATCAGTTTTGGCTTCTTGTGCGAAGCGGTACTCGGACGCAATAATGTACCAGCAACATAGCGAGCCGTGTAGCTCGTCATGGCGTACGATTTGAGGTGAGACTTGATAGGTGGTGGCAATGGTAGCTGCTCAATTCCATAGACAGTCGTCCGAGGCACAATGGCTCGACAACACAACTCTTGCAGACTCAAAACTGAAACAAAAAATAGATTCACTTAATTGATTAATTTGATTAAAATTTAAACAATAATATACCTTTATTTGATCTCCACAGCCTTTCCAGCCCATTTCTGTGAAGAGCCATTCTTGACAATTCACTAAAACTCTCCCTTATATTAAAGTTGCACAGTGGGCTGACTTCGAAGAATGCCATCCGGTTCTTGGCAGCGTACATCTCAGCCTCGCGCTGGCCGACCTGCCGCTTGAATGCCAAGTGCAGTCTGTTGCCTACAAGAACTTTTGGAACTCCAGGCGCATGCTGTAATTGTAGATGAGGTGTTAGTTGAAAGTTCTACAAAATACGATGGAAAAAAACAATCCCTTGTTTTGACACATACCACATGCCAATATAAGACATTCAAATGGAAATAATTAGGAGGATAAAAGAGCATTATTTTACCTCAACTTGCAAAATTTATGTTGTGTCTTAAGTTTGTGGCAATGCGAAAATAATTATGACAAAAAAAAAATACTAATTGTATGGGGAAAAAATTTAGGAAATTAATTACCTCCTCCACTTCTTTGACCCATCGATCAATGCCATCAAATGACCACTTGCTGGTAATATCGTAGACCAGAAGCACTCCTTGGGCGCCTCTCGAGTAGGATCGAATGATTGTGCAGAACCGACCCTGTCCGGAGGTGTCCCATACTTGAAGCCTCACTCGCTTTCCGTCCAGCAGGATTGTCGTTGTCTTGTAGGCTAAAATGACAAAATAAATAAATAAAAGAAACAAAAAATTTGTGTAATATTTTACATTAAAATTGTAAAAAAGTTTTTTTCTTTTAAACTTTGCTATTGGTTTGATTATTTTAGTTTTAATTTATCCAAATTGTTTAAATTCAAAAATTTTATGAAATCGAAAAAAGTTAAGTGGGGAATAAAAAAAAGACACCCCCAAAATTGGCAAAGATTTGAGTACGACTTCCGATGTTATAAAAAAAACACCATCCGCCGCAGTGAGCCTCAGATGCAAGGAAAACAAAAAGTCCAGTGACCGGAGAAGACACAATTAAAATTTCTCTCGGCTCTCGACTTGGTACAAGTGGACAAAGCGCGTTATTTATGACTCATTTGAGCATATCAGAGCGTAAACAAAGCGCCGTTCGGTCCGGCCGAAAATAGGGCTCACCGTATCCGTTCCAATAGGGCGACTCGGTGGAGCCGTCCTCGAGTCCGCTGATGATTTCCTGCTTGCCGACGTCGCTGTCGCCGACGAGCAGGAATTTGAGCAGATAGTCGTACTCTTTCTCGTGTCCCGACGAATCGCTTATTATCTCAGCGGCCATGACACCACTTTCGGGCTCGGTTTCTGCATAATAACATGGGTAACAAGTCGGCCTGGCCGAACACTCGTCGTCCGCAGCAATTCGGCCGCCAAATCCGGTGGCTCGTGACGCCTGATCGGCCGCGACGCGCGTCCCAAATCCGCTCCGACGATGACCACTTGACAGGCAAAGCAACTTTTGGCACCTGATGACCTGATGTGATGTTTTCGTTTTCTCTCCAATTGCGAGTCGCGAGTCGACGACGGACAGCAGGAGAGGAGAGAGCTTGTTGGGAGAGAGATTAATTTCCTGCGGGGGTGGGGGGAGAAAGAGAGAGCAAGGGGAATAAGATTTTGAGTAAAAGAGCCGCGAAACCGGCATGAATATAATATGCGAGTGGAATGAAGAATGATAATCAATTATCTTTGTAAAAAATTTAATTCATTCCCAATGTATGCTTGTGCTTCCCAACGCTAGTTGGTGTATGAATGTTCTTTTTGTAGTGCTGCTCCAGCAGTGCATGTCGCAAACGCGTTTAAAAAAAGAATTATTAATTATTATTATGATTATTATGACATAATGTTTTGATCTAAAACTGAGCAAAAAATTTTAAAAAAATTGTGAATATTTTTTATTTTGGGCTTCTTTAAAAAAATTCCTAAAAATTTTAATAAGACTTTCAACTGTTTTTTTTTCTGATAAATAATTAAAATATGAGAAAATCAAGAAAATATTATTTAAAAAGTAATTTAAAACATGAAAACCAAAGACCCATGGGACACAATGATAATAATGTATAATTAAAAAATAATTGAATTTTGTTTTGCAAGGAAAAAATTGTTTGGTTTTTTCAATGAATTTAAATTTTTGTGTAATATTTTATTTTCTTTTAGTGCGTTTTATGCGGAGACCCGCGTTGCCCCTAATTTCAAACCTCCTAAATGTTTCAAAAATTCTTTGCCCTAAAATATTTCCCTATATTTGTCCTAAATTAATTTTTTCATTTTCATAAAATGCATTTATCCTAAATCATTTCCCCGAAAAGTATTTTATAATTCTAGGCTGTGTCTTTGCCAGTGGTGGCGTTTCGAAGTGTATGTCCACTGTGGAAATTTACATGTTTTATTAAATATATTTAATTTGTTTTAGTCCATTCCTAATTTGTTTTTAAATATGTTAATTTTATGATTAGGGTGAATAGAAGCACTTTTACGTTAAATTTATTAATTATTTCCCTTAAGTTAAAGACAAATTGAAATAAATTTACCATGCATTTATGTGATTTATTATAGAAAAGCAAAATCCTTTTCTGCATTCATGTTGAAGTCATAATTCAAGCAAGCTTTAATTTGACAATTGATACGGAAGAAAATTCTGAATTTTTGTTTTTAATCTATATCATATAATGACCAAAATTAATTACTTTATTTATCATTATTTTTTTTTAAATCATCACTATAAGATCACTGCATTTTGCATTTTATTAGAAGTTACAATTTTTTGACGCCAATAATCTTTGTACAAATTTGTGCTAAAGAAAGGTAGCATAAAAATAAAAATGAACTGATATAACAAGAAGCATAATTTATAATTATTTAGAAAATTTATTTCAAAATAAACAAAAAATTACCTTTGATCAATTTTTTTATTTCCAAATGTTTTGCGGGGAAAAAGGAAAGAAAAAAAGGCTTACGTCCAAATTGAAGTTATTTTGTAAAATAATAAATACATAGTGCAAAACCGTTTATGTCCATAGATATATATCACATAATTATCTCATGTTGATTAATAAAAATAGCGAAAAATAGAGCTATTTATAATTTAAAGATAAATAATTTAAATCAATTGTAATTTGACTCCTTTGTAAAAATTAGCCATTCATAATTAATTTCGTACACATACAAGTATCAATGAATTTTTCCGCAAATTTTTTATTCATAAATTAAAATTAATCAAACCACAAAATTATCTCCCGACTAAACAAGTTCAAAATGCAGCTCTTACCAAAATGCCACTTTGTCTTGTGATTGTTAATTGTGAGCCGCAATAAATTAATAATTTGATACATAATAGTTCTTCACCTTCACGTTTTGACGTAACAAAAGGAGAAATATTCGGCAGGGTTTTGTATAATTTTTGTCAAGCACCGCCAGAGGGTGGGAAGAAGGAAGAATTCGCAGAAGATGAGTAGGAAGATGACTCACCGCACGGCGCACTACATATACATAATATTTTCCTCGTTTGCAGGCTAATACAAGTACCAACACGTACATACAAGTGCGGTGGCGCAGCGAGAGCACGGCGGGAGGAGAAGGAAAAAGAACGCCGAATGCGGCCTGCGGCCGGAGGGGTTACGAGTACGAGCGAAAAAAGTCGACTAGACTTCTGTACTTCTCTTTTCGACGAGGAAATTTAAAAGGCACTGAGTTTCAGTCTGCGCTGGATGATTCGAGTGCAAAAGGTATGGATCACGAAGTTTCTGACGCTCTCTTAATTATTGAGGTTCGATTAATTTGTTTGGCTTGCGATTTTGCGTTGAGAGCGAGAGTGAAAACGCGCGCGCCGGCTTTGCCGGTTGGAGATCGCGAGAGAAAAGTCGCATCTTGTTTGCATTTCTCACAAGCTAGCCTGGTCGGTATTGTTTTTGTCATTTGATATTCTGATACTTTTTTAAGTTTTCATCGAATTTAATTGTAAATTATGCTACGTGAAGCTCTGCCAAGCCCTAGAAGAATAATTTAAATTGAAATAATGTGTACCGCACATTTTGGTTCTTCCCCAAATTAACCTAAGCTGAACCTAAACGTGGACAAAATAGGCGCGGTCTTTCTTCCATTGTTTTAAGTTTTAAACATGAGAGCAAGGAGATTACATGGAATTTTTGCACTTTGCTGCCTTTCTTTTCGTATATATGTATTATGTGAATATTTTAAATTTGGATTTTCGCGTAGTTAAAATTAAATTGATTTAAATTCTATTCTTAAAAAAATCCGGAAAACCAATAAACGTTGTCCTGTAAGGAAAATGATTATAATTTTGTATGAAGCTTTTGTTTCTTATTCTTCGTTGCCAAAAAATATCATTTCGGTGCGATTGACAGCAATTTTCGTTTAATATAAAATTCTCATTAATTTTTATTCATTATCCATTAATTATAAGAAATTTAATGTTCTATGTTCCAGTCAAAAACCAAGCGTATCATAAATTTAAAATTAATTTTGGTCGGGCGTATTCTGGGCGTATTGAGTATATGAGCAGACACTTAATAAATAGTGACGATAATTCCGGATAATTATTTTTTTATCTATGTCCAAAGCTAATTAACGCTGATATGGTATGATTCATTCCTCTGAATTCCTCATTTGCAGAAACATTTAATCATTAGATGTTGACAGTTTACATTTCATGAAGATAATAAATAGAAAATTAATTAAAAAAAAGATTTTGTTTTGTGAATTGTTAGTTTTTACAGTAATAATTTTGATATTGAAATTTAAATTAATATTTTTTACAATATAAGCAGCATTTCAATTTTGGTTTGCAAAAAACAATTTCATATAAAAAAGATTTCAGAAATATTTTTTTAATGAAAATCCCGCTTAATTGATAATTTTTGTTGGTGTTTTGACAGCAGAGATAGATAATGGAGGAGCATGAAAAGCCAACGTATTTGCCACCAGCCCAAAGAAGGAGGATTGATGGAAATAATTCTGCAGGATGGAGAGCTCAGGCAGCAGCCTTGACAGCTCGCAACCAAAATACACAAAACCCTCATCATGGCACTGCGTCCAGACGCCCGCAGCAGCCTGCTCATGGATTTAGAGGTATTTTCAAAAATTATAAGTTAATTCTTTTAATTTCGAAATAAATCCACAATTGTGTGATTTGTGATTATTAATCTATCTAATGGAAATACTAGCAGAAAATAATTTAGTAATTTTTTTTCTTATACAAATTGGATTCTCTGAAAATTGAAATTTGAAACTGAATGAATTGTAAAATTATGTACAAATTTTGATTCAATAATTAAATTAATTTAGAACGATTAACTATGCTATGACCATTTTTAATTAATTATTATTGCTATTTATTCATGGTGTGGAATTACAAACAATAATTTTCCAACAAGCGAAATAATTCTAAAAAAATCTATATTTTTCATTATTCCTTCTTCAAAGTATTGTTTTCATTTATTATTTATAGCAAATATTAATGGAGATAACTGGAGACTCTGCAGAGAACCATCAGTGCCAAGAGGAAATTCACACATTAATGTGACCAATCAAAATGGTAGAGGCAACTTCTATCAGGCCAAAAAGAATCTAAATTTTGTCGCAGCTCTTCAAAGATTGGTTGATGAAGACCCCTTTCAGGTAAATACAACTCTTTTGAAACATCGACTTGTGGAGAAATGAATTATGCAACCTGCAAAGCACTTCTGCCTTGCGGGTATGTATGCCGTGCTCAGCAGGGGCTGATAATAAATTTGAAGGTTGTTAAATTAAGTAAAATAGCGATCCTTTTGTTTTTAGGTTGTGAAACAGCTTGCTGAGAGAAGCGACCAGTGGGATGAACTTGTGAAGGGCGAGTTAAATCTGTCAGACTTTCAACTTGTTCTTTGCGTTCTGCGGAAAGTCTGCGAGTCGGAATACGACAAGCACAAGGCCATGCTGGTCAATCAAACATGCCACCCTGACTTCATGAATTGTTTTCCAACAATGCTGCTGAACAGTTCGATGAAAGACCACTTGACCTTTACTCAAGTGGCAGAAAACATTGCGCTGTTCTTCACAACCTTGGTGGAGATGTTGCCAATCACAGCAGCAGGGCTGAAGAAAACCGTCGAATGCTGCTTTGTCAGTCTGAATGGCATCAGCAGTAGTCAAGACTGTGTGCAGGTTGCACCTGAGTTGCTGCAAAAATACAAGAGTTTGGTTGGCCACGTAGAAGCTCTGCAGGTGAATGCCCCGAAGAAGCCAACTTGGCACGACCGGCGAATGGAACAAGTGGAGAAAATGAAGTACGAGCAGCCGCCGAACGACTTCAGGGAAATCAGCATTTATCCCACCTTTGAAGATGTCGTCAACCCTCAGCGGCCCTTTCTGAGGCCGAACGTGATCAACGGTCCCTACTTTGATGTTGAACACTACCTGGACACTCAGTACCGTCTGCTGCGAGAAGATTTTGTTCGACCTCTTCGAGAAGGAGTGCAGGACATTCTCAAAGGCACCGACAGCAAGAAGTGCGAGTCGCTGTCAGTCAGAGTATACAAGGATGTGCAGTTCATCAAATATGTGAGGGAAATTGAAGGCGCAAGAGTGCTGAACGAAGGCACATTGCTGTGTTTTGATACATCAACAAATAGCAGACGATTCCAGAGGACCAACTGGGAGCAAACCAAGAAGTTCATGCACGGCGCCCTGCTCTGTTTCACTCGAAACTGCTTCCAGACACTTCTCTTTGCCACAGTTAGCAGCCGAGATGTGAAATATCTTAGGCAGAAGCAAATCTTGGTGACCTTTTGCGAGAAGTATGATGAAAACATTTACGATAAGAATGCCAAATACACCATGATTGAGAGTGAAGTTTTCTTTGAGCCTTATTACCAGGTGACTTGCATTAATGTTTGCATTATATTTGTATTATAATATAAAATAATTTATTTCACAGGTTCTTGGAACACTGAAGAATCTAAATGATCGGAACTTTCCTTTCCCAAAATACTTCATTAACGTGCAAAAGGATGATGAACCTCCAGCATATTTGCTTGATGTTGAACCTGTGCAGATTAAAATCAAAGGAACAAGAGGTTCATATCAGCTGACAATCTTGAATGATGCATCGTGGCCTGATGCTGAACAACTGGGCCTAGATAACTCCCAGTACAAAGCCCTGAAAGCTGCTTTGACCAAAGAACTTGCTGTTATCCAAGGACCGCCTGGCACTGGCAAGACTTTCATGGCTTTGAAAATTGCAGAAATCCTGATCCGAAACCAACAAGCTATGAAAAGAAAAACTCCCATTCTTGTCGTTTGTCTCACAAATCACGCACTGGACCAATTTTTGGTTGGAATGCTGAATTTTACCGAGAGTTTAGTGCGCATTGGTGGTCAATCAAGATGTGAAGAGTTGGATGCATACAATTTGAGGAAGCTTAATGTCAAGCGGTCGAAGGCACAGTATAAAGTTCGAGATGCTCTCAGAGAAGCTTACGATCGACTTGTGGTAATTGACCGACAAATTGCTCCCCTGAATCAAGCCGTCAATTTGAGGCAAGGGTTTTTCCTTACAAATCCTGGAGATCACTCAATCCCACCAGTTCTCGATGCTAGCATTGCTTCAGCACTTCAATTACATGATCAGGATGTGCCCTCTGACCCCTTCACAGGGCGCATTGATAAAATTTTTGTTACATTCAAAGAGTTGGAAGACAAGATTCGGCGTTGGACATTCGACAATCTAGAAGATATTAAAGAGGATGAGCATCTTTCTCCTGAAGAGAAACAGCTTTTTTCCTATCAGATCAAAGAGCAAGGCACATACTTTTCCAATGTGATAGAAGGTTTAGAGATAATCGCTGCTGAAGTAGATGCTGATTTGAGTCAAGGAGAGGTTCTTGAAAAAACTTGGAAAAGACGCAGCAACATGAACATGGCTGATCTTCTAGAGCTTCACTATTATATTCTTCGCAAGGACTTGGTGGAGCTTGAAGAGAAAAGGCAATTGATAATGGGAGAAATCATCCAGATGAAGAAAACTTTGGATGAACTCCTTAGCATGGAAAATGTTAGTGAACTGAGATCAAAGGATGTCATTGGTTTAACAACAAATGGAGCAGCAAGACTGCATTCTATGCTGAGCATTTTGGGCTGTGAAATCGGTATATCTAATATTTTCTTGTCGTACGTTGCTTAGTATTAATGAAATAATTTCAGCTATCATTGAAGAAGCAGCTGAAGTTATGGAAGCGCACATTGTGGCCTGCATCTCTAAAAGTTGCAAACATCTGATTTTGATTGGTAATGATGTTAAACTTTGCGCATGTTCTTTAAACAATTAACAATTTCTTGCATCTATCATGTAGGTGACCACAAGCAGCTGCGTCCTAAGATTTCTGAGTATGAGCTGGGAAAGTTCTACAATTTTGACGTGTCTCTCTTCGAAAGAATGGTCATCAACAGAGAAGGGTGCATCACCTTGCAAGTTCAACACAGAATGGCACCCGAGATGGCCAAACTCATTGTGCCAACAATCTACAAAACCCTTGAGAACCATCAAAGTGTGTTCGAGAGACCCAAATTGAAAAGCTTGACACAAAGGCTTTCATTTGTTACACATTCTGAACCAGAGCAGCAGGTAATAGAAATATTATTAATGTTTGATTAAAATGAATTTATTGGAATATATTTTAAATCACGTTCAGGCAAATAATGCAATTTGATTCTTATTGTTTCAGGACAAAGAAAACTCAAGCAGAACTAATCCACACGAAGCATCCTTTTTGATTTCTCTTTGTCAACATTTGTTGAAACAAGGATACACAGCAAATCAAATCACCATCCTGACTACTTACAAGGGACAAATGTTTCTTATAAAACAGGTAAAAAAGACTAAAAAATCTCAGACGAGTATTATTAATTTTAAATATTGTATTTTGTAATTTATTTTGATTGAGAAATATTACAGACAATAAATACGATTTTTATTTTCAGAAGCTCAAATCCATCTTATCCAATTCATCAAAAGATGAAAAAGAACTGGCAGGTGTGAGAGTGTCTGTGGTGGATGACTTTCAAGGTGAAGAAAATGACATCATTCTCCTCTCCCTCGTCAGGAGCAATGCAGAGGGAAGAATTGGATTTTTAGCAACTGAGAACAGAGTCTGCGTAGCTTTGTCCAGAGCCAAGCAAGGCTTCATCATTATCGGAGATATGGGAATTCTTTCTGCAAACAATTCGACGTGGAAGGCTGTTCGAAAATCAATCGAAGATCAGAACGCTCTGGATTCTTCTCTAACCCTCAGGTAAATGCAAATAATTATTTTTAATTAAAGAGAATTGGAGAAAGCCTTGATCTCCTTTTTATTGTAACCTAAAGAGTTCACGTTTTTTACTTGGCATCTTTTATCACACCTAAATTTCACTATACTTTTTATTTAGATGTGAAGTTCATCCTCACTACAAATTTAAAGTGTCGACCCCAAAAGACTTCCAAACGCTTTCTCCTTATGGTGGCTGCAACCTGATTTGTGAGGACCAGCTCAACTGTGGTCATCCTTGCAAGACTGTTTGCCACTTGATGCAAATCAAGCATGCTGAAATTCAGTGCAATGCACCTTGCGAGAGAAAATGCAATGCTGGGCTTCACAGGTGCAAACAAAAGTGCTTCGTCAAGTGTGGCTGGAATTGCATGGAAATGGTGCAAAAGAACCTTCCCTGCAGTCACCAGGCAATGATGAGATGTCACGCCGACGAAGAACATTTCTTCTGCACAGAAATCGTGAAAAAGAAATTCACTGAGTGCAACCACGAGGCAGAGGTTGCATGTTCTTGCAAGAGGTGTCCTCAACCCTGCGACATGCAGGCACCTTGCGGTCACAGCTGCACCAGCAAGTGCCACACGGACTCTGATCCCGACCACCTTCAATACAAGTGTACGAAGTCATGCATAAAGATGAACAAGGACTGCCGATCAAATCATCCATGCAATAAGAAATGCTGGGAGGAATGTGATGTTTGCGAAGTCAAGGTATAATCCATTCTTGAGTGCATTCATTGTTTATATCTTGCATTTAATTTGATGGTAAAATTGAATTAAACTTTAAACATGATTAGTTTTGTCATTGTAAAATAATTGAAAAATAATGAAAAAATATTTTTTTAAACTAATAACAATAAAATGCTGGTCTTTTATCAGGTGAAAGTTAAGAGGAGCTGTGGCCATCAATTTGACTTAAAATGTCACATCGACCCTGAGGGAATCGAGTGTCGCAACATGTGTGCCAAAATGCTCGACTGTGGTCACCGTTGCTTAAAGAAGTGCAACACTGAATGCTCTCCTTGCATTCAGTTGGTGGAAAAGGTCATTTTGGAGTGTGGCCACTCTGCAAAGGTGCCTTGCGGCCGAGAAGCAACCAAGGAAGATTGTGCAGAGCAGTGCAAGAAGCTTCTTTCTTGCGGACACACTTGCAAAGCCAAGTGCTCCGAAGAATGCACCCCCAATTGCCGGGAGGTTGTGGAACTGCAAATAGGAATGTGTGGACATGAAATCAAAAGGCTCTGTCTGGAGAAGACCAAAGGCAAGCAAAAATGATTATCTATTTTTAATACAATAATTACATTTTCTTGTTACTCAGGGATAAAGGCTGATGTGATGAGATGCACAGCCAAATGCAATACATTGCTAGAATGCGGACACGCATGCGGAGGAACGTGCAGGACTTGTCACCAAGGAAGGTTCCATGTGCCTTGCAAGCAGAAGTGCTTTAAGGAGTTAATTTGCGGCCACAGGTAATTTTTGTTGAGAAGGAAATTTATTTATTTGCTAATTTTGTGCACTTCAAATTTGACAGGTGCCCCTCTCAATGCAGTGAACCATGTCCACCATGCACACAGAAGTCCAGCATTTCATGTGCCCATGAAACCCAAGAATTTCCTTGCGGAATGAATAAAAGCATTTGCAAGGTATAACATTCATGAATTGAAAAATTTAATTCTTATATTTATATTAAACTATGTGCAGAAAAAGTGCAGTGTAAAATGTGAGCATGGAAAATGCACGAACCAGTGCGAAATGAAGTGCAATTTTACCAGATGTGACGAAAAATGCTCCAAAACATTAAAATGCACGCACCCTTGTGCTGGGTTCTGTGGCAGCCCTTGCCCTGGCCTATGTTGGGAATGTGATAAGGAAGAGTTGCTGCATCATGCATTTCCCACATTGGCTGACATTCCAGAGGACCCAAGGTATGAAATAAAATGTCTAAAAATCTTCAAAAAAATATGCATACATTTTTAATTCCTAGGTTCATCCTTCTCCCAGACTGCCACCACACAGTTGAGGCAAGTGCTCTGGAAGCATGGTTTAAGTGGCAATCTTCACAACTGGAAATCAAGAGATGTCCACTGTGCCTGAAACAAATTTCAGCCAAACTATTGCGTTATAAGAAAGAAATCTTGGAGCCATTTGACGACTTCAAAGAGATTCGCAACAAAACCCAACCAAATGGAAACCTGATGGCCAAGGAATTGATGTCCCAAACACTTAGACATGGTCCATTGTGTGAAAAATGTATTATATTTTTTTATTCTTTTCAACCCTCTCAAATAATATATTATTCTTTTTTAGTTGGAATTGACTCATTGACCGATTTTATGACAAGGATGTGCCTGGAAACCAGAAAAGGCTATGAAGGAGACGCTCAAGCAGGTGCCAACCAGGCTGGAAGAGGCCGGAAAGGACGAAATCGTACGAGTGGACCAAGTTTTGCTTTCATCAATCAAGTGCCTTTGATGAAGAAAAAGATGGACGTTGTTCAAGTTCTAATAGAACTATTGGAGTCAAAATTGATGTTTGGATATAAGGCTCTCCAAATCAATGACAAGAAGAGTGAAGTTGATTTTATCGTTGAAATGCTGAAAGGGTGCAGATCAATGTCGACTCAGCATACCAGAGATTTTGAGCGTCTTCTCTCTGCCCTGAATTTGAAAATCAACCCCACCAGCAGAATAAGGGAAGTTAAACTTCCTGATGATACTTTGCTGAGGCTTAAGTCACTCTGGCAGAAATGTGGCGAGTGTAAAAACTTTGAATATGGCTCTAAGAAGGTAACCAAGGTATGCAGCAAGTGTCAAGCAGCTCTGTCGGATGGCCCAATCCAGTTTCCTGACCTGGACCATGCTAAACAACACGATAATAAGGGCAGAGTCATCAGTGCCACTTAAATTGAAAATTTTGTATGGGCATTCAATTGATGCACATCATGAGACTAAAACATAAAGATTTGTTAATTTTGCTCTGGTTTTTTGCTTTTCTACATTATTATGAATATTGCATATTATTGTTCTGTAAGAATTAATAAAAATCTATTATAAAACTTTATTGGGTAGAGATAATCTTTAATTTTTAATTAGTAACTTTTGACCAATCGCCTCTTACGTGGAAATACGTTTCGAGACGGGAGAAACTGATTATTTTTTCCTGTTTCAAGTGGTTTCTTTGGGTTTTACTTTTTAATTTCATTTCTCTTAACCCTTTTTACTTTTAAGAATTATTTTTCTGGTGCCCTGTAATTTTTAGATTTACAATTCCAATATATCATATTGAACGAAAATTAAAACGATCGAGATTAAACAAGTTAAGTATGATAAATAATTATTGTATGTACACTGTGATAAAAAAAATAAAAACCTAAAACTTGTGAATATGAATTTTAAGTCAGCATGCGGACGCCGAGTAGAGAAGCAAAACTTTTCAATTTTTATAGGCTGACTATATCAGTGAGGAAAAGCTAGGTTCCTTTGGTCTGGTCAGACAGCGAAATTTAATATAATTATAACAGAGAGGCAGCAGCCTGGCTCAAGAAGGCTGAAGACTTATTGGCTGGCTTGGCTGATTCACATGCCATTAAAATGCATGAAATAAGCCAAAGTGTTCTTGTGGCGCTGTTTGGTTTAAAATGGGAACCAAAGAGGGCGAAGTTCAAAGCAGATTTGAATGATCCACTCCCACCCGCAATGATTATCAAAACATGAAACCACCCAATCCAAATCCACCTTAGCATTCTTAGCAATTTGTTGCACCCGGCCCGATTCTCCTCGCTTTGTGAAAATGGACATGCCGTAGAATATTCTAGCTATATGTATTACTATCCTTAATGATGGCCATGTTGGTTTTGACGGGCAGCGGCAAGGGTCACCTCTCGTGATCTGGGGAAAGGACGCGACGCCGACAACGAAGACGCGACCCAACAGGCTAACACGAAACCTTGAAAGGGGTGAGACTTCTTGGGGGTGAGTTCTTTTTTAGTTCAACCGAAGAGAAAATGTAGCCGGGGAGTTCCAAACGTGCAATTAGGCTTGAACGCGAGAGAAGGGCCCTTTTTTACACGTGGGCCGGGGCTTCTTTTGAAAGCCACGGGGCTGGTCGATCTTTTTCTCATCGGTTTGGCTTCGGCCTCCCGATGATATGTCGTACCAGTTAATTGCTCGCTTTCTCTGCTCTGCGGTGTGGCTTGTCCTTCCGCAATGCAGAAAAGCGTTATGCAACATTCATACTGGGCTAGTTTTCAAAGGGAACCAGAGAGAGACCTCGTGTTCGGGCCCAATCGGACGTCACAAGTATGTAGAACCACCACATTTTACGCCATATATTCCTTGTTTTTTTTTTTTTCTTTTGGCGTTCTGACTATGAAGGGAATAATTAACTGCACTAATCACAGCCGGGGGGCCAAACATGTGTAGAAATCGGGCTTGAACGCGAGAAGGGTCCTTTTTTTACACGTGGGCGGGGGCTTCTTTTGAAAGCCACGGGTCTGGTCGCTCTTTTTCTCGTCGGTTTGGCTTCGGCCTCCCGATGTGAACTAATTGCCATACCAGAGTTGCTATAGCTTTCTCTGACTGCGGTGTGGCTTGTCCTTCCGCAATGCAGAAAAGCGATATTCAATATTCGTGCTGGGCTAGCTTCTTTTAAGGGACCAGAGCCCTCGTGTTCGGGCCCAATCGGACGTCACAAGTAGAACCACCACATTTTACACCATTCCTTGTTTTTTTTTTTTTTTTTTTTTTTGGCGTTCTGATTATGAAGGGAATAATTAACTGCACTAATCACAGCCGGGGGGCCAAACATGTGTAGAGATCGGGCTTGAACGCGAGAATAAGGGCCCTTTTTTGCACGTGGGCGGGGGCTTCTTTTGAAGAAGCCACGGGTCTGGTCGCTCTTTTTCTCATCGGTTTGGCTTCGGCCTCCCGATGTGAACTAATTGCCACACCAGAGTTGCTAGCTTTCTCTGACTGCGGTGTGGCTTGTCCTTCCGCAATGCAGAAAAGCGATATGCAAATATTCATACTGGGCTAGTTTTCAAAGGGAACCAGAGAGAGACCTCGTGTTCGGGCCCAATCGGACGTCACAAGTATGTAGAACCACCACATTTTACGCCATTCCTTGTTTTTTTTTCTTTTGGCGTTCTGACTCCGAAGGGAATAATTAACTGCACTAATCACAGCCGGGGGGCCAAACATGTGTAGAGATCGGGCTTGAACGCGAGAATAAGGGCCCTTTTTTGCACGTGGGCGGGGGCTTCTTTTGAAGAAGCCACGGGTCTGGTCGCTCTTTTTCTCATCGGTTTGGCTTCGGCCTCCCGATGTGAACTAATTGCCATACCAGAGTTGCTAGCTTTCTCTGACTGCGGTGTGGCTTGTCCTTCCGCAATACAGAAAAGCGTTATTCAATATGTATTTGTGCTGGGCTAGCTTCTTTTAAGGGACCAGAGCCCTCGTGTCCGGGCCCAATCGGACTTGACAAGTATAGATTTTGTCTTTTTCCCTCTCCCTTAATTCCCACGTTACCATTTGGTGCAAGGTTTTGCTATATAAATTTTGCCAGTTTTTCTCTGTCACTTTAAACAATTTATTGTTGATTATATTTATTTTAAATAATTTCTCCCAGCATGTCCCTGAGTAGTTTATCATCCCCGTTAATGTATTTGAATATGTTTGTTGTTTCATGTCGTACGCGCCCGCGACAACAAGCTGCCGATGTGCACATATATGGATGGCCCTTCTCGCCTCGATGACCGACGAGGCTTAAATTTTGTGAAATTTGGTGAGAGCATGATCGACTTAATCGGAGAAACAACGCATTTTAAAATGGTGAGTATCACGTGTTGCCGTAATGCGTCTCAATTTTAAATTCTAGTTCTTTTCGACAGTTTACTGATGTTGTTGTTGGCTAAAGTTGTATGAAACGATGAGAATTTGCTCTGCAATAGCCACCTTTCGATAATAAAATTCGCTACCAAAATTTACATTTCTTTTTTAAAGCTGGGCATTTTCATCTGCTCATCTAATTTTGGTCGTGAGCATGATCACCTTTTTAGTGCTCGACTACGTCTGCTCGTGAGCATGCTGACGTCGGAGGGTGCATGCTCACTTGCATGTGCTCATGCTCAATGGACCTTTGCCCAGGGGTGCTCATGAGCAAAATATGCTCAATCTGGTTGTGGAATTTATTTTTTTAATTTTTTTTTTGCTCAAATAAAAATTAAATCATTTAAAACCTTAGATTTAATTTTGAATATTAATATCAAGGAAAAAATTTTCTTCATATTAATTGCGTTGCTGTGTACTGTATTGATATAATTTTAAATTACACTTCAAAATTATACTTGGATTAATTCAACTAGATTTCGGCACCAAAAAAGTTGCCCTTTTCAAAGAGATAAAACAGTCTAATAATCAATAGCGATTTTCACATTAATCATTTTTTACTTTTGAAAGTGAAACAATTTTGAAAAAGAAACCACTTTGGAAGTCAATTCTTGTCGATTATGAATCTCACACAATATACCAATAAGGTGGTATGCGCAAATCTAGAATAATTAATTCTTCTCTTGTTCTAGAAGTGGAAACATGGATATAATTTCCAAGGACCAATGTACACGTTTTTCCTCTGGAGGCTTTGCTGGCACTTCTTGGGGAATATTCAATAGAAAGTATATAATTATTCCTGCAGAATCTTTTTTTCCTTAATTAAAATTCCAATTAAAAAAATTATCTCACCGGATGGAGCGATACACATCCTTAACAATATATAAAATTTGATTATTTCAACAAAGACAAAAATTATATTTCAAGCAATTCCATACTGAATTTAATCACCGGACAGAAAATTGACAGTTAAGAATGTGATTTGAAGTATATCAAAATTTGTGCGCTCTTGTCGGAAATTAAATGACAATTGGTGGGGTTGGGTTGCTTTTATCTAATGACACCTGACAAATATCTGTGAATGCCAAATTAGCTTTATTCAATTGCTTGTGAATATTTTATTTAAAAAAATTTGCTACTGTTAATAACTGGAAATATCATAAGCAGTAGAGTTTTGGAAGGAAAAATGCAACTAGTTATTTGTTGAGAGTAAAAACCAAATGTTGGAATGAAGAAGTTAGGTTCAAGTGGAAAAAATATTAGTTTGTGTCTTAATCAGTCACTTTGCATTAGTAAAAGTCTTACTAAGCTCTTTGAATGACTGCAGCTGCAACCAAGTCCAAAAGTGTCAGAAAAATTGAAAATTGTTGATAAGTTTGCAGGTCGTCTCTGTGATTTTATCGAGCCAGAGTGACCAGCGAGTTAAACTTGTTCACTAAGCTTAACCATGGTTGCAATTAAATTTTAATTAGATTTTAATGAATAAACTCCAATTCAGTTTACTGTTATTATATTTTGAAACAAGTTACTTTAAATTTTTTGTAATAGTTTTTTTGCCTCTGCTTTGCTGCAGTGAAGAGCTATTCTGTATATGAACTTGTTCATCAAATTGCGAGGCTGATTAAGCACTATCTGCATCAGCATTTTACATATCCCACATTCAAATTGTAAGAAGGTTTTCTACTCCTGCACACCTTCTTGGTTTTTCAAACACCGCCATCATGTTATTGCCGCAAATAAGCTGAACCTTTTTATTTTACCTTGGTTCAGAAGAGAAATGAGCACAGCTAGTTGGACCGATAAATTTTTCAACCCTCTTTGCACAATTGGAATCAATTCATGGTGGGTGATATTTCATTATAAACATAAATGTTGAATTGTATGGAATTTGTGGCTAAATTTGTATTTATTGTGGTGAAAAAGTCAAGACTCGGTTGAATTCACTCATTGATAGGAAAAAATGAATGTGAACATTTGTCTTCTTTTAGTTGTTGGCCGCCCCTGCATCCTCTTGTGAGTCGGCTGAGGCGCCAGTGCAAGGTCCCCCCAGCCACGGAGTCCCTCCCGCAGCCCAGGCAGAGTTGCCAAGGCCATGATCCACCGCTGTAACCAGCAAACCTGGTCACTTTCGAGAACGCCGACTGAGGTGAGTGCCAAAGTTCAATTTTTAAGCAATTCGTTGCCTTCCAAAATATATTTTTTTTTCTATTGTCACAAATTCAAAGCAGTTTGTTCCAATGTTTCTCCTCTCCTGGCGATACGCGATCATTTTATGGCAACTTCATTTTCTCAATACTACAGAAAATTTGAACTTGTATTATTGACTGCTATCTTTGGAAGAAATTAGACGCTCCCGTTGTGCCGGTTACCTAAATTGGCCATCTAAGGGCTTACTTGTACCGGCGTCCGCCTCAATTCATTCAGTTTATTTTACTTTTAAACCTAATCGAACAAATGATCGGAGCAAAATAACCAAACCATGAAATCAAGCAAAAGTGTCTAACTTGATTCAGCGTAATTTTTGAGATTCCATGAATTCTGATTGAAACGCGGCTAGAAGCAATTTTGTGAATTGTTCTATTGAGCAAAATTCGTTAACAAAATGTGTTTATAAGTCAAAATGAAATTCTCCGAGCTTGAAATTTGGCCTTAGTCCTTAACCATATTTTTCCATTTTCAATTTAATAATTACTATTATTGAATGCCAAAAACATTTTCACAGAAAAAAATTAGGGTTTTATTATTTTTTTTATAGCTTCCTAAAGTTTTCAGTGTTGTTAAATTGCTAAAACCCGTCTTGTTCATATCAATCCATGTAATAAAAAATAATAACGCTGTTGGCTGTGGTAAAATTCATATGCAAATTTAGTTCACCCGCTGGAATCTGGACGTTTTGTGATAAAAATGTACTTACATAGAAGTTGATCTTAAAGAATGAAGATATAGATATCTAAAGATCTTTAATCAGCAACATCAAAAATATTTGCTGATTTATGTTGTATTTATCGGGATATAAGAAGCTTGTATATAAAATTTACGGAGATTAAACTTCTCTCCTGAGATAACTGTTGTATTTTGAACCGAATTGATTGATGTTTTTAAATATTATTGAGACTTTAAATGGTTTTTTCGCGTAACGTCTATCAACACGCTGTATTGATTTGACCGGTGTTAGAATCATCAGTTTAATTAACTTCTTATTAAAAAAACACATCATTTTTCGCTCTCGTATTTTTGCTTCCGGTGTTTAACATTCCTATCCTTCATTATTTGTTTCTAAAATTAACTAATTATAAATTTGTGCGGTTAAAGTTTATCGTCTATCATGACGCTAAAATTATCTGATTATTTTGTATTTATCGGGATATAAGAAGCTTGTATATAAAATTTACGGAGATTAAACTTCTCTCCTGAGATACCTGTTGTATTTTGAACCTAATTGATTGATGTTTTTTAATATTATTGAGACTTTAAATGGTTTTTTCGCGTAACGTCTATCAACACGCTGTATTGATTTGACCGGTGTTAGAATCATCAGTTTAATTAACTTCTTATTAAAAAAAAAACATTATTTTCGGCTCTCGTGTTTTTGCGTCCGGTGTTTAACAGTCCTGTCCTTCATTATTTGTTTCTATGTTTAACTAATTATAAATTTGTGCGGTTAAAGTTTATCGTCTATCATGACGCTAAAATTAGCTGATTATGTTGTATTTATCGGGATGTAAGAAGCTTGTACAGGTTGGCCCATAAGTAGTCCGTGATCTTTGACAGCTCGCCACGGGCGAACCGTTGGTCGAATTTGAAAAATCTGCACAGATTCTGAAAGCCCAACTTTCTACAAATTTGCCTGGCATAGTAAGAATTTTGCCAGAGTTGAAATTGTAATTGTTTTAAAAGGAAAACTAAAAAATGAGAAAGTGCCTTATGGGACTTCCCATATAGCAGCATTATGAGTGTCGGAAGTTCAAAGTGAAAATCATGTTTTTTAGGTAAATCGACCCTCCTGAACACGAATCCGTGGTCGGTTTTTTGAAATTCTCATTATTTCTAATTTTTTCCCTCAATTTGCAAATATTTGCAAAATGTGCCAAAAAAACTAACACGTGGAGATAGAAATCTGAAAATTGCTGGAGGGGTGCATCTTGAACATAACAACAACGTAATTTTTCCATACTTGCTATTTTCCGGAAAATTGACCATTTTCACAAGGGGTCCACATTTTGGTCGATTTCTCGATTTCTATGGGAGTTAAAAACAAAAGTTAAAGTGATTCTGAAAGCTGATTAATTTTCCTATCTTTCCTCTGTGAACATTAACTTTCCAACACTGGCTGCTTTTCCGGAAAATTGAAGGAAAAAATTAACTTATTTTTCCCCGAGAGTATGCAACCCGCAACAGAAAGTCTAAATAGCCAAAATGTAGCTTGGTTCTTTGGCAAGACACCCCTAAAATTTCAAAACTTTTCCTCCAGCCGTTTTTCCGCAATCGCCGATTTTCCCGACCCCTTTTGGGAAAAATAAAACTTTTCCGGAAAGGCATGTGTGATGAATCATTCGATTAGGCACGTCAAGGAGATGCTAGAAATGAATTTTTATCAAAATCGGATCATTTTTCAAATTTTCAGAGCAGTTTGAAAAATGAACTTTTTTTAATTTACAAAAACTGCTCTGAAAATTTGAAAAATGATCCGATTTTGATAAAAATTCATTTCTAGCATCTCCTTGACGTGCCTAATCGAATGATTCATCACACATGCCTTTCCGGAAAAGTTTTATTTTTCCCAAAAGAGGTCGGGAAAATCGGCGATTGCGGAAAAACGGCTGGAGGAAAAGTTTTGAAATTTTAGGGGTGTCTTGCCAAAGAACCAAGCTACATTTTGGCTATTTAGACTTTCTGTTGCGGGTTGCATACTCTCGGGGAAAAATAAGTTAATTTTTTCCTTCAATTTTCCGGAAAAGCAGCCAGTGTTGAAAAGTTAATGTTCACAGAGGAAAGATAGGAAATTTAATCAGCTTTCAGAATCACTTTAACTTTTGTTTTTAACTCCCATAGAAATCGAGAAATAGACCAAAACGTGGACCCCTTGTGAAAATGGTCAATTTTCCGGAAAATAGCAAGTATGGAAAAATTACGTTGTTGTTATGTTCAAGATGCACCCCTCCAGCAATTTTCAGATTTTTATCTCCACGTGTTAGTTTTTTTGGCACATTTTGCAAATATTTGCAAATTGAGGGAAAAAATTAGAAATAATGAGAATTTCAAAAAACCGACCACGGATTCGTGTTCAGGAGGGTCGATTTACCTAAAAAACATGATTTTCACTTTGAACTTCCGACACTCATAATGCTGCTATATGGGAAGTCCCATAAGGCACTTTCTCATTTTTTAGTTTTCCTTTTAAAACAATTACAATTTCAACTCTGGCAAAATTCTTACTATGCCAGGCAAATTTGTAGAAAGTTGGGCTTTCAGAATCTGTGCAGATTTTTCAAATTCGACCAACGGTTCGCCCGTGGCGAGCTGTCAAAGATCACGGACTACTTATGGGCCAACCTGTATATAAAATTTACGGAGATTAAACTTCTCTCCTGAGATACCTGTTGTATTTTGAACCTAATTGATTGATGTTTTTTAATATTATTGAGACTTTAAATGGTTTTTTCGCGTAGCGTCTATCAACACGCTGTATTGATTTGACCGGTGTTAGAATCATCAGTTTAATTAACTTCTTATTAGAAAAAAAACATTATTTTCGGCTCTCGTGTTTTTGCGTCCGGTGTTTAACAGTCCTGTCCTTCATTATTTGTTTCTAAGTTTAAATAATTATTAATTTGTGCGGTTCAAGTTTTTCGTCTATCATGACGCTAAAATTAGCTGATTATGTTGTATTTATCCAGATGTAAGAAGCTTGTATATAAAATTTACGGAGATTAAACTTCTCTCCTGAGATACCTGTTGTATTTTGAACCTAATTGATTGATGTTTTTTAATATTATTGAGACTTTAAATGGTTTTTTCGCGTAACGTCTATCAACACGCTGTATTGATTTGACCGGTGTTAGAATCATCAGTTTAATTAACTTCTTATTAAAAAATAAACATTATTTTCGGCTCTCCTGTTTTTGCGTCCGGTGTTTAACAGTCCTGTCCTTCATTATTTGTTTTTATGTTTAACTAATTATAAATTTGTGCGGTTAATGTTTATCGTCTATCATGACGCTAAAATTAGCTGATTATGTTGTATTTATCGGGATGTAAGAAGCTTGTATATAAAATTTACGGAGATAAAAGTTCTCTCCTGAGATACCTGTTGTATTTTGAACCTAATTGATTGATGTTTTTTAATATTATTGAGACTTTAAATGGTTTTTTCGCGTAACGTCTATCAACACGCTGTATTGATTTGACCGGTGTTAGAATCTTCAGTTTAATTAACTTCTTATTAGAAAAAAAACATTATTTTTGGCTCTCGTGTTTTTGCGTCCGGTGTTTAACAGTCCTGTCCTTCATTATTTGTTTCTATGTTTAACTATTTATAAATTTGTGCGGTTAAAGTTTATCGTCTATCATGACGCTAAAATTAGCTGATTATGTTGTATTTGTCGGGATGTAAGAAGCTTGTATATAAAATTTACGGAGATTAAACTTCTCTCCTGTGATACCTGTTGTATTTTGAACCTAATTGATTGATGCTTTTTAATATTATTGAGACTTTAAATGGTTTTTTCGCGTAACGTCTATCAACACGCTGTATTGATTTGACCGGTGTTAGAATCTTCAGTTTAATTAACTTCTTATTAGAAAAAAAACATTATTTTCGGCTTTCGTGTTTTTGCGTCCGGTGTTTAACAGTCCTGTCCTTCATTATTTGTTTCTAAGTTAAACTAATTATAAATTTGTGCGGTTAATGTTTATCGTCTATCATGACGCTAAAATTAGCTGATTATGTTGTATTTATCGGGATGTAAGAAGCTTGTATATAAAATTTACGGAGATTAAACTTCTCTCCTGAGATACCTGTTGTATTTTGAACCTAATTGATTGATGTTTTTTAATATTATTGAGACTTTAAATGGTTTTTTCGCGTAACGTCTATCAACACGCTGTATTGATTTGACCGGTGTTAGAATCATCAGTTTAATTAAC